CCAAACTCACGCCTCTTAATACCCTCGCCAAAAAATTGACTGTCGATAATCAGAACGATGTACTCGCTTGCATTAAACTTCTTCTAGAATATGGCGCCTCACCTAACAAGCCTGACGACCGTGAAATGACGCCATTGAACTATATTTTGAAAAATAAAAAGCTCGACAGCCAGATCAAGCGAGAACTTGTTGAACTTTTCACTTCCCAGCCAGATTTAGATGTCGATAACTTTCGAGATGGCGAAGTACGTGAATTGTTGAATCGTGATTACCCCGATATGTTGATAAAATTGAGCGCAGTCGAAGTAAGCTTAGATAGGCTTATTTCACTCCTTCGTAATGGTAACGAAGAGGAATTTGTCCAACAATTTCCAAAATTCAAAGCCAGAATGATTGAAAAACATAACAATCCGAATGATGTGGAGAAGCAAGAACTTCTGCTTTTCATAGAGACAATAAAGCGTGGTACACACAAAGCATTTGATTTGCTCTTGAATTACAACGTGAATATGAATGGCATCTTAGATAATCAAACACCCATACATATTGCCACCATGTTTGGTAATTGGAGAGCTCTTAAAATATTATTAGAACATAATGATCTCAAGTTACGCCAACAAGATCAATTATTAATCACTGTTATTAGTCACTTAGGCGATGAACCATTATACGATTTTGTCAATTACAAGAAATGCCTTTACATTCTATTAAATTCGGATCGCATTGATGTGAATGAGTCAGATCCCAGTGGCTCAACGCCGCTTCACTATGCCGTTAAGTATCGCAATCGGTTAGTTATTCAAGAATTACTACGTCATGGTGCCTACATAGGCATGCGTAGCTCATTTAATGATTTGCCCATCGATGGAATATATCCGGAAGTGTTGGAGGAACATTTTGATAATTGCATTACTACAAATGGTTATAAGCCTGGGGACAGTGACTTTGAAATATTAATAAATTTCAAGAATCTCATTGCACATCCGCGCTTAAGTCATGCAACGAAATTGCGCGCACAAAACTTTCACGAAGAGATGCCACCGATCGCATATATTGCTGAATCAAAAGAACATCGCCATTTGCTGCAACACCCACTTATAACCAGCTTTCTGTTCCTCAAATGGCATCGTTTATCTGTCATCTTTTATATTAATTTTTTCTTATACTTCTTCTTTGCCCTAAGCATTATAGTACATACAATATTGAAATTTCGCGAAAGCGAATACGAAGCTCTAACTGTGTTATTCGGGCTCTTATCATGGGTTGGCATTATTTACCTACTTATGCGCGAGATAATACAATTTGTTTTGGCTCCATTGAAATATTTCCGTTCGGCAATTAATTATATGGAAGTTGCACTTATTATATTTTCCATAATGACCTGCACTGAGTCCAGCTATAACCGTGAAACTCAAAGAGTAATAGCAGTATTCACGATACTCCTTGTCGCTTCGGAGCTTTGCTTGTTGGTGGGTTCATTGCCAGTTCTTTCCATCTCTACACATATGCTAATGCTGCGTGCCGTATTAAAGAGCTTTATCAAGAGTTTTGCTCTCTACTCAATATTCGTAATTACATTCAGTTTGTGCTTCTATATTCTGTTTGGCAAATCATCGGAAATCAACGATATCACTGACCGCACCGACGCCGTAAATGATGGCGGCGAGTTCAACAAATTTGCAAATCCATTTACAGCAGTCATCAAAACTATTGTGATGTTGACAGGAGAATTCGATGCCGGGGATATTGAATTTGATACCGTCTACAGCTACTTGATATTCTTAATGTTTGTGGTATTCATGTCAATTGTGCTTTTCAACTTGCTTAATGGTCTGGCAGTTAGTGACACACAGGTGAGTAACTGAACCTTTAAACTTACTCCAACTTATTGTAACTCCAATAGTTATAATATAGTAATGAGTGAAAAGAGATCTACTGAACTGCTTGCCCAAAAGCAAAATTCATCTTGCCGCATTCGTAGGTGTTCTTACTGGACACTGTCCAATAAGCATTCATGCGGTAAAGCTTAAAATCTTGAAGAAGACATAGCCGAAACTGATATTAGCCGTCTTAACAAAATTGTGATAGGCTCAAAGCGCTTTGGCGATTTGTAAGGGTCTTATGATGCAGTATTTAGGAGTTTTAGGTACCACAACAGAACCGGCGTTCTAAGCTGTCCAAGTGAGATCTCTCTTAGGATCTACCTCTTAACCTTACCTCTTAAAAATGATCCTGTGATATTCAAAAGATATGAAATATACTTTTAGGCATTAACCAACAACTGCAAAAACCCAAATTGCTGAAATAATATATGAAACTTATACGGTATATCTTTTATATATATTATTTTCTTCATAGGTCATTAAAGCACAAGCCGAACTAAATGGTTCTATTTGTCGCACTCTTCTACTTACACGCTACGAACAAGTCCTGACTGGACGCACCGGACATGCCAGTTTCATCATTAAACATGAACCGTTCCGCACAATATGTCGCCGTTTAATGAATCTCGATTCCAATTATATTGTTGACCGGAAAATCGCTATTCTACCGAACGACCACAATAAAGTGTTCGTTGGTTTAGCCAACGGAGGTGTTATCGGAGGTGGCATCAGAGGTGGTATCGGTTTCGGCGTAGAATCGGAATACAATTTCGCCCGGGATAATGAAATTCGCAACTCGAAATCACAATTTCTACCATTGTCAGAAGAAAATAACAATCGTCAGAAAAAGTTGCTCGATGCACCTGTTTCATTCTTACCCTGTTGCTGCACCTGCATTACAGGAAAATGCTCTGAAATGGATAGTCGAACTGTAAAATTGGCTATGGCAGTAATCGAACGAAAAAACACATCACAACAAGACAAGATGCGTGAAGCGAACACGGAAAGAAGACTGAAGAATATAGAGGAACAATTGGCACAGATGACGGAGCTACTGCAGAAATTAAGTCAAGAAAAATAAAGAGGCCAGTTCAATGTTGATATCATTAAAAATTGTTGCTATTTTAACTTTTTTAATATTTGTGCAAACTTTAAGTGTCCTTAGGGTTATTTATTCAAGATTTTATTTAACAAATAAGCATATATCATAATTATGAGAACTTTTAATGTCCAAATTAATACATGAATGTACATACGTCAGCAAACCTTGTGTGCGGCGCCTTGTGCTGGGAGAATCCGATAAATATGTGCAGGAACATGTGACGTTGCGTTTGATAGAAATGTTCCTGTTTAACAGGATATTGATTGCTAAATAAAAAACTGAACAATTCTTTTCACAGCAAAGACAACAATGTTGTAACTCACAGTTCGATTAATTTTACAGAGTCCCCTGTGAGTACAGAAGAAGGAACAGCTAATGCAGAGCATCTTATAGCACATTTGACTTTCTAACTGTTCTGCTGTTGGCTCAACATTTTTACATTTTCAGTAGACCAAACGATGTGCATATTCGTGGCAAGAGGACATTTGTACCACAATAAAGTTTTGAGTAGAAACCAGAATGTTTTGAAATTAAATGATTGATTGAAGATCTGTACTTTGTTTTCCTTTTATAATCAGAACGCAGTTTCCCTTCCTGAATGTGATATGGGCTAATAAAACGTAAACTTATAGTTATACTAGCTGTATCCGGTGTGCCCTGCTACGCCCCTTTATATGCTCTCAACATGTTGCTACAGAGTATAACAGTTTCGTTCACCTAACGGTTGTTTATATCACCTAAAACTAATCGAGTTAGATATAGGGTTATATGTATAAATGAATGATCAGGATGAAGAGACGAGTTTAAATCCGGGTGACTGTCTGGTCGTCCGTCCATCCGTCTGTGCAAGCTGTAACTTGAGTACAAATTTGTATATCTTTTGGTACACATGTTAGTTGGTACCGTAAGACGGTTGGTATTGCAGATGGGCGTAACCACTACTACGCCCACAAAACGCCATTATTCAAAAATAAATAAATTGCCATAACTAAGCTCCACAATAAGATACAAGACTCTTATTTAGTATACAGGATCACATTTGAGAGGGGCATCTGCAGTTTAAAATTCTTTAAAAAGTGTAATAAAAAAATTCACTCGGAACAATTCTTTAAGAACCTCTTTCGACAGTGTGAAAATGGGAGAAATTGGATGACAATCCCGCCCACTCCCCATATAGCGGCACTGTTTAAAACTACTAAAAGCGCGATAAATCGAGCACTAAACACGCCAGAAAGATTAAATTGTATCTCTGGGATGGTATGAGATGACTTTATAGGAACCGACTTCAAAATTAGACAGTGGGCGTGGCACCGCCCACTTTTAGGTGAAAACTCATATCTTAGGATCTGCTTAACCGATTTTAACCAAATTCGGTACAAATTCCTCTCATATTTCTATGTTTTAGTTCGAAAATGGGCGAAATCGGATTACAACTACGCCTATTTCCCATATAATATCATTTTAAGTTCCATCTGATTCTTTCACTTTCCACTATGCAAATCAAGCAACAATGATTGTATCGAGGTAAGACTTTGCGTGAATAATGCGTTAAAAGTATGCCACCTTGTGACCAAAAATTCTCGAAATCAAATAAAAACTGTTAAAGCCCCTTACTGAATATGTGGACCCCATTGCCTATAGTTGTCTTTTTACCGAAAATATCGGTCAATGTGTAAGATATATAATTGAAATTCATATAAAAAAATAAGTAAATGAAACCCACGATAATAATATGTCTTTGTGTCCAAAATTGGTTGAATCGGATCAATACTTCCTTTGATATAAAATTTTGCCAACACCTGAAGCTTTGATCCTTGCAACTTGTGAGAGTTTAAAATGTTCGGTTACACCCGAAGTTACAACTTCCTTACTTGTTATATGTGTGTATATATGTACATGTATGTATAAGATGTCAAAATAATATCTAAGTGTGTTGTTGTTTTTATCTACCCATTTTCATTTAAATGTTTAACTTAATTTTTGAAGCAACATCGAGTGTAAAATAAATCCACATATCTGAAAGCAATTTTTTATTATAATTAAATACATATTACAAAACTGATAAATTCTGCAAAACATTTCTACTTCTTTTTTTGTAACTCCCTTATACCAAAAGTTATTTTTTTCTTTCACTTTTTTGTTTCTCAATTAGTTTTGTAAATATTTAGAGATTGTATTTTACACATGCACTCGTTTACCACTTATGATGCATTTTAAAGCATCTTATTGTTTACATTATATATGTGTCGTAACATTCATTATATAGTATCTTGAACTCATAAAAATATTATTGTTGTAGAACTTAACATACCATTTCAGTAACCTTCGTAGTCTCAGAAACTTTGAAAACACGTTGTAAATACAAATACGTTGTCTCTGAATTAATACTTATACATTTTTATTTGCACATTTAGTAAGAAATTTTAAACTTAATATAGTCTATATGTACATATATATTAACAGAAATTTTTGGCGTCAAGTCTGTTTCGTTAACTTAATTATCTTGTTCCTCTAAATTAGTAGATACGGAAAATTCCATTTTCACTTTAGACATTTGAATTATATTATTTAAACGGATGTACGTTTGTATATGTGTGTGTGTTTCAGGGTAAAAAGTCGTTAAATAATGAACTACCACAGCTAAATCATATAAAATACTGACAGTGGTTTAAATATGTGAGATTATACATAGGTACATACATAACAACATTTGATTAGTCTACAGTTGATATAATTCTTTAAAAAAAGTATTTAAATATATTTTGGATTTTGAAAACTTTAATTCTACAAATGTTTACTAAATTTTGCACTCGTTTGAAACATGTACACAATTATAATAACGCATATACACATATGCGTATATAATTTATTTATATACATATAGGTACATACAAATGGTATAAAAAAATAATATCACCTCTTTCAAAAATACTTCTATCAGTGCATTTTTCTCGAACTACACAATTTGGCGTTTTCTTATTGTTTTATGTCAGTTTGAAAGTCCAATGCTTATTTTATGGATTAACATATATTCCAGTTCAACGATATATGATTGAATATAAGGACAAAGAAGAATGAACACGCCGCTAATTAGTTTTGTTGTTATCATGTTGTATTTTTGTTTTTCTTCGATACATATTCAAAAAAAAACAAAAAAAATGAACAATCGAAATGATGGCTTTAATGGCTCGTACGGAAATTCATATTGCCAGATAAAAGTCTGAGCGAAATTGTGTTATGTATGCAATGTTTTCACCGTAATGGAACCCACCTGTGCACTGACTTATGTAAACATGTATATGTTATATTTCCATAAGCCTTAGTTTTGGTACGTACATTAATACATAACGGAAAAGCCTCACATAAAATGGCATTCACTTTTAGCAGATTCACTTTTAAGCTACAAAATGCTTAACCTCATTTTAGTATTGTTTTTTTTTTCTAATATCGAAATAATCAGCGCAGCTCCGGTACATCCGTTTATGCCCTTCATGTCATAGTGCATGAGTGACGCTTTAATGTATATTTATGTGATGGGCTCTTTGTGGCGCTTGTCATTCTCGCTGTGGCGATGCTATAGGAAGGTAGTGACTGCCTCCGTCGCCGCACGGCAGGACTTAGGTTATAGCGAATATTCGCTTGTACCAACAACTCTTTGAAAATCTCCACAATGCCTAAATTCTCTTTAGCCGAACATTCGATGTAACCGCTTTTCCAATCCTCACATACAATCATTTCAGTAACCTCATGCTCCACCTGCCGATCAGCTTCGTTTATGTCCACCTTATTACCAACGATGACAATGGGTACCTTGAGGCCACGCTTTGCTATTATCTGTAATGAGGAAATAGTTGCACTTATTAATAATAAATTACAATGAAATGATTCCTAAAATCTGGGCAACAGTATTAAGAAGGCCATGGTCAATCAATTTACGTATATTAGGTAATTATCATTGACCAGATTGGAGCATGGTCATATTCGTATGTATGTGTATATACTTGTATACATATATATAATATATACCGAGTATGTTTGGGCTTTTAATTCGCATTCCCTGGACATGTTTTCAAAGATAAACTTATACAAAGGATGTATAATGTCCTCTCGAATTATCGAGCCTTGGAGAGTACAGAATTGATCAAATAATTGGTATAAATCAAATAACCTTGCATAATCAAAAAGAGAAAAAATAGGAAGTGGTTATACCACATTAATAAACTATTATAGTATTCTGAGTTGAATTTAACCGCGTGTATAATAGTTAAGAGTTTGATAAATGATTTAATATATAGTATTTAACATATACATTGTGATCTTTGGGGAATTCCGCAAATAAATTTAGAATGGTCTATTTTGGCTCTACGCCTTACTGACACTTTGCTTAGCTCATAATTTTAAAGCCATTTGGATCTTTTGTGGGATGACTATCCATTAGTTACAGATGATTTATCTATTTTTTTCTTTGTGCTAACTGCCACAGATATATATTCTTTTAATTATTGCGCTGTCAAACATATGATGCATGCATATGGCATGATTTCATCTTAATATTCACAAAATCAACAATTTACCCACCTGTTTCCTTAGTCTTTCCACCTCAAACCACGATTGTTTATCATCTACCGCATACACCAAGATGAAGGCGCCCGCTGTTGATATCGATAAAGTACGCATTGCAGGGAATTCATAAGAACCGGATGTATCTAAAATATCTAACGTTAACGCCGAGCCATCTGGCAGCTCATATTCCCCACGATGCAACTCCTCCACTGTTTGCTTGTAGCGGGCTTGAAATTTATCATAGAGAAATTGCGAAATAATGCAAGTCTTGCCGACACGTGCAGCGCCCATCATGACGACGCGACGCTGCTCTTTGCGAATCGTAATAGAGGTATAGTCGGTGGTAGAAGCGCGTGTTGTACGCATCACCGCCGCTAAAGAGGGTAAACGAAGGCGTTGACACGGCCCTGGCATGGTAATGTTGAGACGACCGCTGAGTGCCTTTGCGACTGCTCTCAATTGCTTCGAAGTCACAAATAAATACACTAACACTTATTTACTTCCCTTGAAGTCCTGGCGTGCTTGCAAAATTAAATTGGTTTTTTGTTTATTCGAACATGCATAGACACACCTAAGTAGTTTTCATTTCACTTCCAATTTATTGGCAATGAGACGCGAATCTGACGTCTAGTGCACTTTGACTGATTTAATTTAATTTAAATCCATTAAGCAGGGCCTCGCTGATAAAAAGATACTGAAAAATTGTTGGATGTTTGTAAGAACCCTGTGAAAGAGATAAACATCTTATGAAATAAATATCTTAAATAATGAAGACTTATTAGTTAAAGATTCGATATAAAAGCACATAAGTATATTACTTACAAATAGTGATTTCGCAATTTCAAATTAAGACAAAATAGGCCTTACGATTCAACTATACTATGTTAGCGTTATTATTATATATTATATGTTAACTCTTTTCTCAAAACTAGTGTGAAAATATGAATTTTGTTGTTGTTTGCTAATTAGTGGGTCAGCTTAGTGGATATCAAGATAAATATGGGTGAAATCGGACCACTGTCACGCGAACAAAATGACGTTCATAGACATATAAAGCTATCACTATGCCACAAATTAAAATATAAAATTTGCACATGGAAACGCAGGTTTAATGTACATACATGTCTCACAAACCACCACATCTATGTCAATTAACATTCTGGGAACAAATCTACCTAGCACCACCTTAAATAGAGTGAAAATGGTTCTAATAAGATAATAAACACGTCCATTCTCCCATATAGTGATTAATTGGACAATGGACATGACACTGCTCATTTTTCGCTGAAATCCCATATCTTACCAAATACTTGACCAATGTCCACCAAATTCGATGCATATCGTAAGAGATGACAGTTGCCCAATATTTTGCTTCGCTTCGATGTCAACAATCTCATACAAAAACGTACATCGAGCTTATCTGTCGGAGCAAATTTCTAATGCAAAAGTCCTATGTGAATCAGCCATTATTTTTATGGCAGCTATATGCGAGTGTTCCGATATCATCGATATCGATATCCCAAAAAGTGGGGGACTAGTTCGCGTATATACACTGGTCACGCTGATCGTTTATATATATTTACTTTATAGGGTCTCCAACTTTTCTTTTTGGGTGCTGGCAAACTTAATATACCCTCTTTAGGGAATACAAATTCTACGATTGGATTTTACTCAGTAAAACTAGGAACCTTTGTATAAATTAAATAAGACATATTTTTAGAGAAATTACTTAGGCTTATTCGCCAAATATTTCAATTGAACTTTTATGAACGGTAGCGAACTCAGAAACACGGATTAGGATATTATTAAAGTCCTGAAATTAAATTAATCTGTGTAGAAAATAGCGATGAAATAATTGGTTGGTATTCTATTCTATTCTAAAAATGATTCAATTATATGAAGATAGTTCCATTCTCCCTTTTCCAGGTGCTTTTAGAAAACGCTCTTTATGAGCATTAAAGCATATAACAGAGTCTGAAAAGCATTTGAACAGAAATTCAAATATTTTGAAAAAATCTGAGCTAAATTTTAATAACTTCTTAATTCGATAAATAATTTTGATTGCCTTTAAAATACATCAAATTTCTTACACTAAGGACAACAGTATAGACATTTACACATTTAGATGAACAGTATTACAGAAATAAAATTCCGACACTGAGACGGATTGTACAAGTATGTGGCAATCACTGAATTCAAATTACTCATACAGAGCGTTAAACATACTGCCCAAGGTTCTTCCTATGAATGTGAACATACTGTTGAAAGGCTGTATGTATTTTTCTTTTACAATTATATTGAGCGTTAGAAATTTCTGTTTAGATTTTAAATTTAGCGCATTGTTCACAAACATACCACATATGTAGGTGTTTCGAGATTGGCGTTAACGGAGATATACAGCATATATATATAATATTTTGTTTTATTACGCCGCCAGCATGACAACATGCAATTCGTGCTCGAAGTCGTTTAGCTTACCGATTAATTGTTTATTTGCTCCGGTTTTTTATTCTTTTATAAGTTTTCCATTTAAAACTGTTACGTTCCATAACTTGTTACTGCTTACTGACGCGTAAAATCTTTTCGTGCACTTATAATTACGGTTATTCATCATATGTTGTCCTTTGCATTAACTTGCTTATACCGTCTTTATTTATCTACTTTCTGTAAAAACTCATTTTGAATGCAAGACTTGAATTTCAGATGTTTTTTTTTTCATTGCTACTTAAATAGCCTTATAATAGTAAAATTTACAGAGAGAGCACAACCGTTGGCACCCAAAGCTATCGTTTATCTGAAGTTTATCACATGGCACACAGACCTTTTATATAGAAATAGTACTATAACAACCATAAACGTATGTATGTATGTAAGTATGTGTACATTCTCAAAATGTATGCGCAATTCTCATTGAATTCGAAATTCTCAAAGGTAAACAACATTTCCGCTCTTAATTAAACCCACACTACTAAGCACATCTACTTTGGATTCGCTTTGCTTTAGACTTGCGCTTTGGCTTCGATGTATACTTTTGTGTGACTACGTTCACAGTTTTCGAAAGGAAGCAGAGCAAAACGAAGCAAAATGTTTTGGCAACTCTCATCGTTTATGCTTTGACAAGCAGCTATCAAGCAAAGCGAGGAAATTTGTGTCTTAAACTGCCATAAGCAGGTTTTTTTAAATTTTTGAGAGATGAGTAGAAAACACATGTCATGAGATGAATTGCGTACGTATTATATTTACAACCAATGCTTAAAAATTCGATCACTGAATTTTCTCTATTTCCATGCTATACCTTGGGAAAGCACAATCAACCCGAAGTGGTTGTGAATAATTCAACGCATTCCATATAGTTGCTCAAATTCTACGCAAGTCAATGTTTTGCCAGTTACGCAAAAGTCTACACTTTCGACTGTTTTGTAGTTTTAGCCTTAAGGCAGCACTTTTATTGACTTATGATATGATATCAATATTATTTTCTGTTAAATAATGTTTTTCCCAAAAAGAAATTTTATACATATATATATATGTATTATTCATCCTATTTTATTTTTAACATTTCGACAATCTTTCACCACCCTTCCAATAGAACAGTTTAATGCTACTCTTGTGGGCATACCATTAAATAACAAATCGATAAAACAATTTATCAAATGTCATAAAAAGCTTTAGCTACTGATTTTTGTGAATGAAAAAAAAATTGAAAGTATAACATTTCCTTCCATGAACTTAAGACTAGTCCAATGAAACGGGCAGAACCCGATAGGATACGGCCGTTGCTAATACGACTGCGCCGCTCCACAATTTTTATGCTCCATATTTATTGATCCAGTGCAACTTTCACACCCTCCTCCTATTTGACATAACTCTCATTCTTTGCCAGTCAATATTTGCAAGCATATTTCTCTTTAGTCACATGCTGTGTTTACAACAGTCAGCTGCTCAGCGTTGTTTTGTAGAGAATCACGTTCATGTGTATATAGGTACATATGGTTCAATGATATGTTTCGCCCTGCTGTTGACATGTGCAAGTCAGAAGCAAAACAAAACTCGAAAAAAATTATTAGTTCGTCACTTTCCACAAGAGTAATGGCGGTACATCAGCACACAAACGTCAACTAGACGCAAGTTGCAGACAAGCAAATTTTAACGAACTTTTTGAAGGAAATTTGAACTTTTCATAGGCGTATTGTTGACACTGTTGCTGCACTGTGCTGCAACACTGAGGATGAAAACGTGTTACCTAAGTCGGCTGGCAGCACATGTGACCAAGATTCCTACAGTACTTATACATTCGTATGTTTCTATGTATAATGTTTTATGTGTTTTATTTGGACTGAACTACACTCAACATTCAGTATGGGTGGATGTGTATAGATGATTCAAAGAACTAAAGGCAATTAAGAAATAATATTAAAATATTAAGAACTAAGACTCTTAACCGACTATAAATTTGCATTATGCCCATTTTAATTCAAATCGTCCGCGTTTTATTGATTTTAAAAGCTTCACACGGTTTTGGAAACTAGTACAGGCACGCACAACTTCTTCTGGAATTTTGTCCCAAATTCTGTGCAAATGGCGCTTAAACTGGCCCAGTTTTAAGTTTTGTACATGTTAATTTTCCCATCATATGACCCCATATACAAAAATCCAAAGGATTCCGGAGATGAATGGGGATGTTAATCCGCTGAAAGTAAACAAGGCATATTGTCTTTGCACCACTGCTGAACAGTTCTTGCTTTATGAACCGGGGCAAAATCTTGTTGGAAGCAATTTGATTTATTGCGAAACATACTGGATACATGAGCAGAGAAGTGTCCAACAACCACTTCCTCCAAATAATATTTTGCACTAAGATTTACTCCTTTATCAATGAAAAGGAAAGGGAGTTTTCCTTTTGCTGATATGACTCCCAAAACCCAGATATTGTGTTTTGATACCTTTCAATAGCTCGTTTTCAGCTAGAAGCTCAGACATACTGGTTGCATAAACGCGGCTATTTTGTGAGTTGTGGCTTGCCTGTAACACAAAAAGTTTCTCATCACAAAATACAATCTCACAACTTGTTTGCCGGGAAATATGCAAATCACTTCTTTCTCTTCTCATTTGCTTTTGTCGTTCCGTATCTTCACCAGACTTGGAGTTCTGATCGTGTAACTGCGACCAGGTTTTTTTGATATTTCAGCACTACTACTTTTCTTGAATCGAACCACAGTACGTTGAACGAATCTGTGGTTAACATCGAGACTTTCACCGGTTTTCCCTTTGATTCTATTGCTCACAAAATCTGAAACGCGAAATTATGTTGCGTATATTCATAATAACAACTTACTTGACTCAACCTACCAAAGCTTCAAAAAAGTGCGACAGTTATAAGGGCCCACGCTGTAGAGACGTGGGCAAAGCGGTGAGTATGAATGGTAGTTTCATTACATGATTCTTTTTATCTTTCAGGCAAAAATATACTTAGTACACAAAAAATCAGAGAGAAAAAGAAAAATAACCACGACCTCAGAGCAATAGTGATTAAAGCTTCAACTGCATCCTCTCATTCGCACATTAAAGGAAATCAGACAATAAACTCAAAACCAAATTCTGCCGGGTATCTACAACGATACGCAAACTGAAAACCGCAAAATTGTACAGCAAGGCGTATGAGCAACAAGCAGTAGGGTGAGTGTCGTTAAGGCATAATTACCGCTCTTAAACTATCGTAGTTTTGGTACTCAAATGTGCGTTAACGAGCTTTAGAAAGTGCAACTCATTATAATTATGGTGAATTTTTCGGTCACTCCTGATTTAAATCACTTTCCCGATTGTTTGGAGCACTCTAAATTATACAGCAAAATTATGTAAATCGTGAGTTAAATTAGTAAAAACAATTAAAAATCTCTAAAAAAAATATCTCAATGAGTCGACTGCTGTGTATTTACTAAGTAAGGGCTATGTTCAGGCACCGCCGAACATTCGATACTCTTGCATTTATAAGATCAGTCATTGAAAGTTATGTGTCAGATTGCACCCGGCTATCCCTTCCCTTATACTATCATACAGGACAGAAAAATTACTACACCTCAAAATATTATTATATTATCTTATCTTTGTGAGATACCTCATTAACAACAACCACAGGTTCGAAAATTACTATATGGGGTTAGGAAAAGATGTAAACCGATTTCGGATATCTGAAAAAATGTGTATATTTTAACATTCTCAAAATAACAGAAATGGACTGGAAATGCTGCTCTGTCTGAATTCCCACTATATACTATTTTTCGTTCATAAATTTGACTGTTTAGCACATGTTGAATTTGAAATTGAATTTAGAAGATTTACTATAATTACATATGTATGTATGTAGATATAAATCTTTTATTTTCTTTACCAATGTAATACTATTTCACAATACACCCAAATGATCTGTTTCCTTAGAATAATTCATAAAAAATTAGAATTAATCAGAATCACGAGATGTCAGTTGACGTCACGAGAAAATCGCGCACATGAGTTCTTACGCACACAACTGCCAATTTAAATGTAAATCAATATCCTTGTTTGCTTACACACATATATGCATATCCTGGACCATAGCTATTAAATGTGAAAACTCATTTCAAACACTGTTTTTGTTGCTAGTGAGATTCTCATGCTGCAATCACAGAAACGTGATGACAAAGTCGAATGCGAATACATGTGACAACTTAAAAAGAAATGAGGTAGATGTATCAATATTGGGTAACTTTTATGTACATGGTAAGAATTTATTACTTATTTAGTTTAAAGTGGAAATTTTAAAATTCCAAGCCGGAATATAATTGGAACCGTATTTAAACAAGTTAACTCAAATCAAATAAGTAAGGAAGATCTTAGTTCGGGGGTAACCAAACATTTTATACTGTTGCAACTTGCAAGAACAAAGGCGGAGGATCACCTCCAGGTTTTGGCAAAACTTTATATCAAACTAAGGAAAATATCGCCATGACTTCACCAACTTAAAAGAAAAGGATACACTGTTATAAGAAAGAGACTCTTTTTGAATTTCATTAATATTTCTTACGTATTGACCGATAGGTACAGTAAAAAGTGAACCGGACGTTTAAAATTGCTTATGTTAGGTATATGGAGGCTAAGGGAAGTGTTGACCCGCTTTTACCCATTTTGGGCACAAGTTAGTAAGATGAAATAACTTGAGGGTACTATTTGTGCAAAGTTTTATTCTGATAACTTTATGTTTGATTTGTATAATGTAAAGTGAAAGAATCAGACGGAATTAAAAGTTTTGTTCTCTGAGAATGAGGCGTGGTCGTCGTCCAATTTACGCCCATTTTTGCAATGTCTAATAGGCATTTTTGGGTAACTCAACACATCAAATTTGGTTGAAATTGGTTGGTTGGTTCCTAAGATATAGGATTTCCCCTAAAGGCGATGTACCACGCCCCTTTTTCAAGTTTCACACCAGATCCTAAAAACTCTTCTCTACCATCCTGGTTGTAAAATTTAATGCTTGTTGCTTATTTATTCAAAGAGTAATAGCACTTTTATTAGTTTTCAACATAACCGTTATATGGGGAGTGGGCGTGGTTATTATCCGATTTTACCCATTTTGAGTTTGAAGAGATGATAAAATCACTTCTTCTCAGCAAGTTAAGTTGATATATCTCAAGAAGTTTTGAAGACATCTACATTAAACAATTTAAGGGGCGGAGCCACACCCACTTAAAAAAAATTTTGAGCCAACACTAAAATCACTTCTACTCAGCAAGTTAAGTTGATATATCTCAAAAGGTTTTGAAGAGATCTACATCAAAAAATTTTGAGCCAACAGGTGTGCCTGGCTACAGCGATCTACTGTTCCAAATTACAGTTTTGCATTTTAATTTGCGGCTTATATACCATATACAACCGTTAGGTGTACAAAACCATTATACTCTGTAGCTACATGTTGCAAGAGTATAAAAATATTGCAAAAGAGCATCCATTATTCGATTAAATCAAGGATAAATTACAATCAAATTTGACATCTTCTTGAATTATTTTAAAGGCCATAAATTTAGACTTAGTTTTATTGCCATACTTGTATTTTAGGCCACGTCAGCTAAAACTATATTAAAAACACCTTGAATGTGGTTATTATAACTTTAGTGGCTTAGGAGAAATTAACATTAAACCTAGTAGATAGCGGGGCCACGCCCACTTTTTCAAAAAATTTTAAAATACAGATACCCCTTCCTAATGCGATTCGTTATACTAAATGACAATATTGTATCTTATTGTGGAGCTTAGTTATGGCACTTTATGTGTTTTCTATTAATGGCGTTTTGCGAGCGTGGCATTGGTCCGATTATGCCCATCTGCAATACCACCATTTTTATGGTGCCAAGAAGCATGTGTACCAAGTTTTATTAAGATGTCTCAGTTTTTACTCAAGTCACAGCTTGCACAGATGGACGACGGACAGTCCAGTGATCCAATGACAGTATAAAACCGTTGGCAGTTTTTTAAAAATAATAATCGAATATGTTTAATGTGCATATCTCACAAAACGCTAAAGCTATATGAACCAAACTGGCGAAACACAAGTTTTTCTAGCACATCCTATTCTTTCTAGCGTCCATCCTTTATCCAAACCAAATTTGGGGCATTACACTACAAGTATTTCGACGTTCTTATGCCAAAAAGGACGAAATTGAACCATGCTTACTTTTTATATATCACAATTTTAAAAGTCATAGGATTCTTTCACTTTACAGTATATAAATCGAGAGCCAAAAAGGCTATCGAAATAAGACTTTAAGCACATAGGGCATTTATATTATTATCTAAACACTTTTGATATCGGCTATAACTTTTCAAGCCCCAGATACCAAATATGGGGACCCCAGCGCCTATGACTGACTTTTTGTCGAAAATATCGTTCAATCCGTGTATCGTTCAAAAATAATCCTTTCCCGATAATGCCCTTAGGTAAAAAATGGGTAATATCAGGTGAATACTTCCGTATTCTGAAAATATCGGACAGTGTGAGTAAAATTCAAAAAATTGCGTGGAAATATGTTCTCGAATATAACTTAGTCCTGCTAAAATAAAATGTCACAAGTTCAGACCTTCTCCTACACCAATATACACGATATAGTGATTTTTGTGGAAAAGTTGTCTTAAATATAGAGAGGTTTAACGCTGTGAGTGGACGAATGTGAATGGACTTTTTCTGGTTGGTCTAAACCCTATACATCTAATATAATGATTTCCGACTCTTTGGTTGACCTTTCGCTGATATATCCAATATATTAAATGTTCCTCTTTTTAATAATATATGTAGATACCAAATATGATTGTAATCCATTCCCGAATTCGACGAATAATAAATGTTAAGCTCCTACTCAACATTCCTTATATAAAATTTGCCAGCACCTCAAAGTATTTCCCTGGCTTTACCCTTATTGTTTTACCATTACGCTGAGAATTCAGTTATCCACCGAAATAAAGTATATTATCTGTCAGACTATTGTGGATAAATGATTGGATGTACGGATTACCACAGGTCTCCTTGCTCCGACGCTTTGTATTTAACATAAAACACTCCAAAAAAGCAATGTAATACAAGTGTAAGCAAAGTGTATTTTCATTTTCATGATTCATTAATGTAATGGTATAAGTTGGCTATCGCGTACGAAGGTGATTTTGCCGAATACCGGTTTTTAATAAAATTTCTTTTATGCATTGAAACAAATATCTCAGAAATTTCAATTTCGAGAAACTTAAAGTGCACCTACGGGTCGCTTTTTAGAAGTGTATATTTGATTAAATATCTTTGGGATCCTCGAGCGCGACCTATTAAATGCTTTGGAGAAGTTCTTAAAGTTCGGTATAAAACACTTAGTTAGAAAATGATAAAATAAATGAATGTTAAAAATTAATCAAAACCGTTCAGGCGCATAGACAAAAAGGTAGGGTCAGTGTGTAAATTATAATTGTATTCTTATTATCATAAACAAAACGTATATTTCAGTTTTCATTTTGTATAATAGCAGTTATTTTGCATTCGGTTGTTTAAATCGTGAAATCACTCAACAATTTCCTAACGAAGGAAAGAGCCAGCGTAAGATTGCGGACATAATAGGACGTTCCCAAAACCTTGATTTTTCTTACTTTTCGGCACAGAGAGTTGAAAAAAATTTATTTGGAAGATCATCGCAAAAGGTGGCAATGCTGACTTATGGATTTGGAAGCGAACGTTTTTTTTCTGACGTCTGAAAAATATTCCGCGAAATACTACTATAACGTGTAAGAATGCAGGTGGATGAATTGTGGTGTGGGGGTGTTTTTCTATGAACAAACACCTTAACGTCCAAATACTTGAAGATATTATGCTATTTGGCTTTGGTCCTATTTTTATGTCCAATGAAATTCTAATGTAGCCATATATTTTAAAGTTTTGCGAAAAGTTATTTTTATTTAATTTCAATTTACCATTACTTTCACATTTACAGTGAAGAGTAAAATTATATATAATATGTTATTTTAATTAATTATCTCAAATAGCTGCTTTTTATTGGCCTTCGCAAAATCTGAATGGATGATCCTATTGTTTTGTCCATAACTGTATGTATATAAACCTGGAATAAAAAATACGCTGCTTTGCTGACTGCGCTGTAGGGAGGAGCCATTTAAAAATGAGGACAAAACTATTGTATTTTTTTGAGTAGAAACCACTCCTCAGTCCAAGATAAACTAAAAAAAATGTGTTTAAAAAGAGATTAGATATACATATCTCTAAATACAATACGGCACAAACTTCAGAGATCTGGCATCAAAGGCAGCAATACTGTAAACAAACCCTACTTTTAAAAGCACACATTCAAAAAGGGTTGCAATGAGGGCAGGAAAACATCAACCTTGATTGGAGCAATATAATAATTACAGATGAGTCAACTTTAGTATTGTTCAACTCCTTGAGACGTGCTTTACTAAGAAAAGGACAAACATATATTCAATGGAGGTATATGGATACTTCTCTGCTCATGGATTTGGTTTTTGAGGTGCTTCACAGAAAACCTGAACGCCGTTAGAATGATAAAATTGTGTAAAAAGGTTTACTGAAGTAAGCTGAAATGCTTTACGGCAAAAAAAAACATGTTTGGATACTGCAAGTCATCAGATGCCAATCCAATACAGGATGTTTGAGCTTTAATGAAAGCCAAAATAACAAGAAAGTAAAAGATTTCATTCGGCTAATCCAATATACCTGGAGGCCGTTTTCTGTGGAATTTGCGGAGAAATTTAGTTGCTAGTTGCCATCAAAAATGTCAGGCTATAATAGACAAGGTGGGAGATTGGAGCAAATATTAAATAAACGTCAGCTATAGCAAAACAATTTATTTTAATATAGCTTCTCATTTTTATCTCATACGAGTAGTTGTGAATACCAGACTCCTATTTTCACATTTGACATCAGTCAACCCTTTCATTTGGCCAAAACAACCATAGAATAAAAGCAGAATAGAGCAATGTATTCCATACATACATACAAGTAGTAAGATAGATTCAGATTTAATATTATATATCCTCATATTTAATACATCTCGAGTTCGGTTGTACAGAGAATTGTTGCTCCCATACGTTTTTATTAAAAGAGCGCTAAAGAATCGCTGCTGATCATATGAGGGGGTAATATGATCACCGACAACCGGACAGAGAGTCATTGATGATAAGAGTGAAAAAATATACATAAGTATGTATGTATAAATTTATTCTCGTGCACAGCTTCATAAGGGGTACAAAACGGGAGCGGGTAATCTAAAAGCATTGTCAGCCAAACATATTGCCTTTCACACATTTACAATCAGTGTTGCCATTTTAAATTAAATTCAACCAGTATTGAATAAAAGTAGTTCGGCAACATTTTCCTCATTTCAGATTTCCTATGTTATATAGATAATCTTCAGGTGGGTAGAAAGCAACAATTTGGATGAATTATTCAATTTGGTCTCTGAAATTGTTTATCAAAAGAAGAAATGGTTTTAACTTTTATTCTTGCTAAAAATGTTTTACGAGTATGAAAACATATTATTGTTAAGTTAGTCTAAAATTTGAATTAAATTTAATTTAATACACAATTACGATTGGATTTTTTTTACCAAAATTTCGAATCTGTATGTACTTGTTAGCATTTAAACATGAAGACGTGGCAACACTACGCACAAACAAATGTGATTGTATGACCATATGCCACAAAATTAACGTATAAATAACCATAGGTTCATATGTATAAATTAATTTGCACTCGCTTTTATTGTATAAACCTACAAGTAACAAAAGAACCCGCTGTTTTTCAAGAATTTTATACAGCTGAGATCACCTGATCAAAATCTGTATTTTTCGACATAGAGGAAGGTAGTAAAATAACTGTTTTGTGAAAAGGTATTTGTAATGGAAAACATTAATTAAAAGTTTCAAGAATATTTTCGAAACAAAAGTTTATTGCATATTTATTTCTTTTCCTCACCAATTCTGACGTTGCAATGTAGGCACGTTACCGATCATTTTTGGGTGTTCGGTTCCCTAGAAGGCCTATATTCACCCATATTATGTATACAGTTTTAAATCAATCTACTTATAATAACAAATATTATTGAACACTCTACATGTATTTATTTCAACAAAACCAATCAATGTAAAAAATCAGGTACAATTCAGGACCAACAATAATAATAATCAAAAATAAGTACTAAGTGCTAAATAGCATTAACAAATGTAATAAAAATATTCTTAAAGTTATAAATTTTAAAACATAACACGGCAACACACTATAGCAGATTTGAGGCATTTCGACGTTTTAGTAGTAGAATAGTAGTAGACAACCCGTACCAAATGTGTCATTAGTAGTTTATAGATTTATACAATGTTCGCTCTGGAGTCTAGCATGATGTGATCAATTCTCCTTAATACAGTTCTTTATACAGGGGCAACGAGGGTATAAGCTGTCTATTAGTTAGAGGGTATTTTTAAAACATTGCAACCGCTGTGGGAGTGTGAAAAATTAAAAATTAAAAAATATGATAAATACTGGTCAACTAGTTTTTAATAGAGACCCAAAAAGCTAAGAAATCATTTTTAAAGTGCATTTTTTATTTAATCTCAGTTACTATTGCGGTCGTCTTTAATGTCGAGTGGTGATAAGTCAAATAAGAATCCATAAAGAATATTTTGTACATACAATACATGTGCATATATACATATTACATTTAGGTAGTATTAGTGTATAATTATTTGTGTAAAAGTTTTGTACACATCCGTTTAGAAGTATGAATTACACACATACACAGAGCGTTAGTCCGAAGCACTCACTGATTATAACAAACTTACAAAATTTGCCGGTTTGAAAAATTGCTGTGATAATAATATAAATGTATAGGAACAAGACATAGCAATATCTAGTGACAATTCTTGGCTGGGATTTATAATAGGTGTAATAGAATATTCAAAGTTAATATAAGTATAAAGCTTTGTTAATAAAATTCAAAACCTTAACAATTTGGAGTATGCTATTTTTCGATTTATAATGTTCACTCTTACCTATATACCTTAACATACATATGAATAAATTGTTCCTATACATTTATTTTGTAAAAATAACTTAAAACCAATATTAAAGGTTTCCTTAAATTCATTTTATTCACACAATAACAAAAGGGTTGCATTCAAACAAATTAGGAGTGATACCAAGTATATCTGCATGTAATGTTAAGAAATCGAACAATTTGTTATATTTGCTGTAATACAGAATAATTCAGGAATTCACTTTTTTTGGTAACACCCCGATGTTGGATCAAACAGTGTTATTGTTTTAGCGCGGCCAAAGGCCGGCAATGCCCAAAAGAATTCTACACCAAAGATCTTGGGGCACCCCGGTGTTGGGTCAGTGAGGGTGGTTTATTAAAGCGAGGACGAAGTCTTCTACAAGGAAATGTCAAACCTTCTATTATAATTTCTAAGATATGGCACTTGAGTTTGCCATAAGTGTAACACACAAATATTTTGAACTGCGAGTGCTCCAAAAAAATTATGATCAAAAAGTAAGGTGAGGTGATTATCGTGGCGTGTTGCGCTAAAATTTTGTCAAAACCGAGTACACCTTATTTGGGTGCCTGGCCATAGGGGTATAGCTGGGAACGAACTAGCTGACGAATTAGCCCGCTCTGCAGCCTCTACAAAAATGGTAGGGCCGGAACCATACATAGCGGTTGGTCCTCATACCATCAAAGAGCTCCTCCGAAGGGAGGAAAGAGCAAGCAGGGAGATACATTGGCAACAACTTCAGGGCATGCACCATGCCAGACTGCTATTGGGGGGGTTACGACCTCAAGCGGTTTAAAGCCATAATTAATCTCCCCAGAAACAAATTCCGGCTACTGGCAGCGTTCTACACCGGCCATTGCAGGCTCAAGAAGCACCTCTTTAACATGGGCATAGCCTCTTCTGCAAACTGCCGGTTCTGCGACATAGAGCCGGAAACCCCTGAACATCTGCTGATGAACTGCACAGCAGTCTGCAGACGCAGAATCAAGGCCCTGGGATCCATGTTTCCACACAGGGATCGTATCGCCTCACTAGCACCCAGCAGAATTTTGGAATTTATCAACATGCTGGGCCTAGATGATACGATATGACTTAGGGGAGGGCACAATAGACCATAGGTCGCGGTGCATACCTCGAAACTAATCTAATCTAATCTAATCTACTAATTCAATATACACAGTTGAGTATGAATAGGGGTTTACGAACAAGGATAAGATATTAACAGAAATATAAGTTTACATTCAAAGAAAACAACCCAATATAATTGGCTCAGCATTATAAAAATCTGAAATTTCTCCAACGCAACATCAAATCTAATCAGTGCATTTCACACAAACCTGAATTTGTTTTGATCTGTATCTAATATCATCTTATTTCGCACTAATTTCTCTTTTTCAGATTAAAATGATATACCAAGAGTTTTTTCTGTCCATTATAATTCTGCATTCGGTTTCATGGAACATAGTCATGGTAGACGGAGCTAAAATTCTTGGTTTATTTGCACACCCCAGTGAAAGCCATTTCGAAGTAATGCAAAGTTTAATGTTGGAATTAGCAAAACGTGAGCACAATGTAAGAGAATGCAATACTCTTCCAAATTACTCCGTTTCATTTCAAAGTTTTTGTATTTAAGGTTACCGTTTATAGCAGTCACCGCCTGAATGAACGTATAGAAAATCTACGAGAAATAATTGTTGAGCCGGAATTTCCTTTTTGGAAGCAATGTATGTGAGATTACTACTGGTGTTGAAAACTATTTAATTCACCTAATATTTCTCTATTAATCATATGTATTACGTATTACTTGTAAATATAAACAAAGTAAATTCCGAGTAAATTACATCACTTTATAATATAAGAACTTTAACATTAAAATAATGACCGAAAAATCCTACATTTGTTTTGGGTAACCTCGGTTTCATTCTTACACAACCTCCATAACTTTACTATGTCACTTTAATCATAATCTTCAGTTTTAGAAGTAACGGGTAGCCAAGCAGGAGGCCTCCTTAAAGCAAACGAACTAACCGAAAGGGCAATGCAAAAGTCACTGGCCACTACGGGTGCCAGCGCGGTTAATTACTTCTTGTCAAATGAAGCCGTAAAGAAATTGCTTAATTTGCCTGTCAATGAGTTTGATTATGATTTGATAATTGTGGATTTATTCTACACCGAGGCTTTGCTAGCAGTGGGACATTTTTACAACAAGCCTACAATTGCTATTTTAAACACGAATTTTGAGAATTACATGGATCGTGTGTTAGAGCAAATGGTACCGGCCGCCTGTTCACCTATATGTTATGAGGCTTACAAACCAGAGGCCGGTTATTGGAATCGATTAGGGGTCATTCGTTACTGTTTGTCACGAAGAAAACAATTTATTAAAGACAATTGGGGCGCACAAGAATCGGTGATCCGAAAACATTTTTCACAATTTAAAGGTATATTATAATAATATATAAATTCATATGTCCATACATATATACATAGAAAGCAAGTTCTTTTGCCGTATGTAGTATGTTTTCACGTAATGAATTCAATTTTTTGATATTAATTTTCATAGGCGTGAGCGAACTTAACATCGGTACGTTGCAGGCTGAGTTGGCAGTCTTGCTGCTCAACAGTCACGTCCCATTGTTAACACCTCGACCGCTGCTATTAAATACCGTAGCTGCCGGTGGTATGCACATACGACCACCACGTGAATTACCTTGGTCACTTCGTCGCTTCTTGGATGAATCGCGAGCAGGCGTCGTCTACATGAACCTTGGCAATGAACAACTCTGTACAGACGTACCAAAACACATAATGCAGTTACTCCTAAATACACTGGGCAAACGAAAAGAACGTGTGGTGTGGACTTGTCACGATCACACGGCGTTGAAGAATTTACCTACCAATATAATGGTCCAACATGCAGTAGCACAAGCAGATATTTTGGCACATCCTCATGTGCATATATTTCTTATGAATGGTGAATTACTTAGTATGCAGGAAAGCATAATGCGACATGTGCCTATGATTGGTGTGCCTATATTTCGCAATGAAGTGCGCAACGTGGAATTAGCAGTGCGACTCGGTATTGGAATTCATCTGAACCACAATAACTTGACGGAGACGGCACTCAATTGGGCGATGCAGACCATCAAAGAAGACAGCACATATCAGTTGAAAATTCGTCAGGTGGCCACTACCTTCCGTGATCGGCCGTTAGGTGCTGTGGAAACGTGCATGTACTGGATGGACTATGTATTACGTCATCAGAACGGAGCAGTTTTGAAAACTCTTGGTGTGAGCATACCTTCCAGTCAATTACATCTTTTTGACTTATTTATTTTCTATTTTGCCATTGCACTATTAAGTGTAGGCATGCTAGCTGCTGCCTTTTATGGTATAATAATATTGATGAGAAAACGTGAAATAGGAAAAATGTACTCAAAACAAAGTTAATATATTGAATTGCATAAAATACAAAACAAATTTGTTCTTTGTTGAATTGATCTTTTATTATCGGCCACTGTTTTGCGTCGGTGACTGTTTGTGCCGTAATGACAACAATACATACGTAATAATGTTATAAACCAATCAGTGAGTAGCTATTTATAAAAAACTATGTTACGATCTGGGTTGCTATTAATACTTAACGGTAAAAAAAAGTCGTAGTCATCGACTAGGAGTCGCTTCTAATCGATTCAAGACTGGCTCAGATTCAGATAGATTATAAAAAGTCTGACTTATACTCTTTTGAAATACTACGATTACCGATTAGGCTGTATTTTCGTAGCGTCGTTTTTAAATAAAATAGGCTAAATCGAAAAAATATAAAATGAGTGTGTTTAGAACATATAGAAGTAGTTAAAGATTTCATATGAGTGGTAATTGTACAGAAAGTGTATAATTTAATGCCACATATAGTGCATAATATGAAATAAATTAAAATAATATTTTAAGTCGCTAATAGGCCTTGTTGCCAATTCTTCTTTCTGAAGGGGACATCAGACAAATTCTTCAATTTCTGATTTTTAGCATCGTCGTGAACACCCTACAAGATGGTGGTAACCAATTCACTAACACACTTGTAAAATTTCACTTCTTACACCACTACATATTTAAAACTAACTTTTTCCTTTTAAATGGAAAACTCTGTTATAAGAGGAGCAACATTCATCATGCAAAAATTTTGAATGCGAAAGAATGCGAGTCACATACCATTTTCCATCAACAATGACCGACATTATTTGGAAAATTTGTTTGAGGTAAGCGCGTGTTAAATTTATATAATATTATTTTGTTTATAGATTCAAAGGGCGTTTTATAAAGTTTTTGAATTTTATTTTACAGAGGAAAACTCTTAATGCGCTGCCCGAGCGGGAAATCGAGTGATTTTGCAGCGCTCCACACTTTGCACGAAGTACATATATATGTAGCGGAGGAGTTCCATCTGTCAGCCGAGGCGTTCGAATGGTTGATAGGTGATATTGAAACGTGTTTTCAGCAGGCATTAGCTAACCTTGGCGAAAAAGTGGGTGCTCTGGTTGCGCAGAGTTTGGGTGAACACGCTACACAGGTGAGCACGGCTGTGCAATTAACTTCTTAATCTTTACTTTGACTATTTTTTAAGTGTTTTTAGATGACACTCAACACTTTCCATTTCGCTGGTGTGTCCGTCAAATAACGTTTCATTGGGTGTGCAAGGTCTAAAGGAAATCATTACTATATCCAAGAAATCAAGAACTCTCTAACAGAAATGAATGCTGTACTGAAGTTCTACAGCTTGTACGTAAACTATCGTGCTTTGGGCTTGTGTGAGGTAATGACAACTTACAATTAAATTATATAACTCTTCCAGATGTATAATAATATATGTATAAGTATGAATAATTTCATCGTAACTGGCCAATGTTGTAAATTTCTATGTTCAATATGTATATACATTTACAATATATATTGGAATTTTTATTAAAAATTGTTTCTTTTGTTTCATTTTAGCACAAAATTGAAAGTGGAAGATTTCTTTATATTAACATCTATTTAATAGTCTTTTGTTTGGTTAGAAAATGTCATCAACTGAAAATTTGACATTTTGTTACCACAAGATGTTAGTAAACAATGTTAAAATTTCAGTACCATTTTTTACGATTCTTAACGTGCAGCCAAGGTAACCACCGTAGATAACATATCTACGTTAAGTACCATATTAAATATTGTAGTCCTCAACTTTTTATGTGAAAGTTTACAAAAGAAACCAATTTTTAAACATATTTTATTCAATTTAGATATTAGAAAATTTCGATGCAAAGTCCTCAAGCTGGACTTCAATATCACCATTTTTGTTTTTAAATTATAAAATTTAAGTTATCTATTAGTATTGAGTACTAAATTAATTATTTAAAATATTATTGTTTAATTAGGGTACATTTATGTACCTAATGTGCGAATATCAACAATTAGTAAATTAACAATCAATATTTACTTTCTATAAACCATATACATATAAGGTTTTTAAGAAAAAAATTTTTGTAAAAGGAAAATTTAGTCAGTAATGTATATATATGTATATGTATGTATAAATGCTAAAATTTGAAATCTAATCTAAAATAATTACTAAAAAAAAATTTTAAATTGTAGTGTGTAGAAATGGAAAGGAAAAATAGAACCACCATGTAAAAACATGTAAATTATAAAAAAAAATTAAATGAGAATTTCAATTGTTTTATTTATAAGGAAAATGTAAACCCTGATAGGGTGATAAAATTTCTCTTTCGAACATGCGCATTTTCGATGTTCCCTCATAACAATTTACATTTTAGAACAGCTAACATTTGCGACTTCTATATTCATTGCCATTCTCTTTTTCAATCGAGCATCATACAGAATTTTATTTGCACCTTCTCGTTCTTTTAAGTTCTCTGGTTAAAATTGTTCTCATTTTCGAATCATCCCTACACAAATAACACATCTGTAATTGGAATTGTAAATTTGACGTTTCAGGTCTGCCAACTTGACGCTAAAGTAAAGCATTTCTTCCTTTCCTAAAAAATCGTGTCTGTGTTAAAGACGTGTTTAAATACTTTTCAAGTGTTTTAACAGGTAAAATTTTGATAAACCCAAAGTCAATGCTTGCGAAATGTGACCGCTGCCTCTGCCTCTCATATAGGATGTTAGTTCTCCCAAAAAATCATAATTCTGTATGTTAAAATGCACGTGTGTTTCTGGTCATAAAGTAGTACCAAATGTCAAATGCGGGCCACATTTTGTGAGGTTATGCTACTGTAGATAAGTGAATAATATACCTAAAATTGTTATATTGACGGATGATTTCATATTTTATAGAACATCTACAAAATGTCTGGTACTACCGCCACTATTCGCACCCGCAAGTTCATGACCAACCGGCTATTAGCTCGTAAACAAATGGTTTGCGACGTTCTGCATCCCGGATTGGCTTCAGTCAACAAAAAGGATATCCGCGAGAAATTGGCTGCTATGTACAAAGTAACTCCCGATGTGTGCTTCGTATTCGGTTTTCGTACTAATTTCGGTGGTGGACGTTCAACTGGGTTTGCGCTTATCTACGATACTTTGGATTATGCCAAGAAATTTGAACCTAAGTACCGTTTGGCTCGTCATGGGCTTTTCGAACAGAAGAAACAGACCCGTAAACAACGTAAGGAACGCCGCAACAGAATGAAAAAGGTGCGTGGTACTGCCAAATCCAAGATTGGATCCGGCAAAAAGTAGATAATCCACGAATGTAAAAATTAGAGCAAATGTTAATATTCTGCCATTCTTAACTATTTATTGGTGTTTTGCAACATTTTTAAATTACAAAATAAAAGTAATAGAATTTTTACTTTGAAGTGGAATGTAATATCAGTTTATATTGGGAATGGAAGAAATGGATTGCATTTGCATGGCATTTGGCCATTTTTTATGCATAAGTAAATAAATATCAATTAAAAGAAGGATTAACTCTTTTATTTATTTATGATCATACCAAATTTGAATTAAATGCTAATGCTTAGATGGTACCAATATATGTATGCTCATAAAAGAAATGCTGGTATTTGTGTTTTTTTTTATAAGGATGTACTCTTGGACGTGTTATAAACAAGTTGAAGACGTTTTTCAGTTTTTTGTATAGCATGACTATAGATAAATGCAGATATGTTGTTATAATGAGTTCAATAAACATTTTTTAGCGTGGCAAACTTGTTTATGCATAAATCTTTGCCCAGATGCATGGAGGTAACAGCCTCAGGTAAATATACTATAAAGTTACCAAAAACTATTTGGGAAAAGTGCGTTCGAATACTCTTATTATCGCCAACTGGCTATGGTTCCTCTTATACGATTTTATACTACATATGTAGCTCAATAATGACAAATAAAAATGCTGCTGTTGATTTTTTTAAGTTCAACTCACCATTAATATAAAAAAAAGAATTAGAGATTACGTCAATAGTCAGAGGTTAACTTTTAGTTGGCGAGATGATTTTATCAACTTTGCAAATGTTATTTAATTTTAAATAAATATATCAACACTGATGTGAGTATAAGTATACATATTTTGCTTATAATAAAATAAATAATACTATATTCTGACTGCATAAATATTTTGTAACTCGTTTTAGTAAAACTTTTTCAATATAAACTAATGAATAAAGTTTATTTCACTTGTTTACAGAAGTGTTTACGTTTTTGTTTACAATATATAAGCAATTTGACAGTTTTTCTACGTTGCCTAATCTTATTACATATTGTTGTTGTAACGGCAGAATTCTACAGTTACATAGACCCGACTGTCCTGGGAACGGATTCTTATTCTATAATATATGACGCCATCGTTAGTCGGTTGTCATTCTTAATTATCTTTGGTCCATTTTGTATGATTCTGTCAAGTTCAGTGTTGCCAACAGTGAAGATTTATCTTCAAAATTACAATTTGTTTATAATATATATTATCTAAATTTTCAATCAAAAAATCTTCATTATCGATATATCTGAATATTGTGACTACAATAGATGATAGAACAAAATCGAATGAACGATAAACTGCCAGAAGCAACTAGTTAGCGAATTCGTAGTTGCCAGAATGTTCTAGAAGCAATGTTTTGTTACAGATTTACTATATCACTTTATACACCGGATTGCCGGACTGTGCAGCAAACACAGTTCTAGTTAGAGTGTTGTCGTGATAAGAGCAATTAAGCTATAAGCAAGAAGTTGTAAGCTCGAATAACGAGCAATAAGTGTTAAGTTGTTGGAATTAGAAATAAAGATAAGTGTGTAGCCATTAAATTGGGACTTTTATTTAACAATCCAGTGATCGAACTCAAGAGTGAGTTACAGGTAGACGATTTATCGAGAAATCCGTTACAATATACTTGAAGATTTTTCTTCTTTATATTGTTCGATTTTTGAACACCCTCAGTTCATTTGGTCGGCAAACGATTTTAAAAATACTTTTAAGTTCTCTTAATTTACAATACTTTAACCTATTTTTGTTTTGCTATGCATATTTACTTTATATTCATACTATATTATACTTTTAATATTTTTAGTGATAATAATTTCAGCACATTAACCTGAAGAATATCTAATAATTGTTTTGTTACATATATTTGTGTATAAAGTGATACTAAATGTAATATGTGTACCATATATCTAAACTCGTGTACCCGAAAGATGCCCTAAATTAAAAATGTGAATGATCTTAAGTGAAATAAAAAATAAAAAATTTAAAATAGAATTAATAATGTGAATATATTACTTTTGTTTGTGGAAAAATTTATTAATTTTTTTCTCACACTACACACCGAACAACATCACCAACAACAACATAACAATGCACCCGGGCCCCCTTCAACTTTCGCTCTTTCGATTTTAAGTACATCAAAGCAAAACTCCAATGACAAGCGTTGTCACAATGTTTCTCTATCATACTAGTTGTGATTGTTGTAGCGGTTATCTAGACCTTGTTTTGGTGACATGGCACTAAATTTAAGGAGTGTTCTGTTTCGACGGGTTCAGACCATAGGGAGAGGTACGTTCATTGCATAAATATAAGGCTTATACAATGGGTACGTTAGATGAGTGAAATTGTCTGAGCATGAAAAAATGTACTTAGTCTCCGTATATGTTGGCCACACACTACCATAAATTGCATTACATTAATATTTGCCGAGAAACCGCTAAAATCTGATATTGTTTAGGTGCAAACGTCTTGTTATGAAAAAAGTAATGAACATTTCCCACTATGGGGAAGTGCGAACAAAAGTTCAAAAGTTTTTAAATCCATGCGGATTGTCAGCTGTTCGATATAGTTGGTAATTTGTTTACATTTAGTTCAAAAATGAAGAAAAGGGAAGTGAGTCCATTTGCCACATTAGGCTTAAGGCCTTGGTTAACAAAACAACTTCAAAAGTTGGGTTAGTAATAAATAACAATATTATATGCATTATGTATCAATGAAGAATTATTAAATTCAGTTATCATCTTTCAGGACTTAGAACTGCCACACCAATTCAACAGAACTGCATTCCAGCAATACTTACTGGCCGAGACTGCGTTGGAGCTGCTAAAACGGGGTCTGGTAAAACATTTGCATTTGCATTACCGATTCTAGAAAGACTAAGTGAAGAACCGACCAGTCATTTCGCGTTGGTGTTGACACCAACGCACGAGCTTGCTTATCAAGTATATTTCCTTGCTGACAAACATGTTACGATTACTTCAAACAACTCTTAATTTTAGATTTCGGAGCAATTCTTGGTGGCAGGGCAACCGATGGGGGTGCGTGTATGCGTTGTCTCTGGAGGTACTGATCAAATTATTGAGAGTCAAAAGCTTATGCAACGCCCGCACATTATTGTTGCCATGCCTGGACGTCTAGCTGACCACTTAACTGGATGCGATACTTTTTCATTTGATAATCTCAAATATTTAGTTGTTGACGAGGCGGATCGTATGCTTAATGGGGATTTCGATGAAAGTATGGCTGTAATCGAAGGTTGTTTACCCAAAAAACGACAAAATATCTTTTTCTCAGCTACAATGAAAGATTTTATTAAGGAATCGAGTATATTTCCCATCGCAAAAGAAGTATGTATTTCTTTATTTTATATATTTTTATTTAGGTTTTATTAATTTTTAATATGTACATACATATTTTAGTGTTTTGAATGGTCAGAAGAGTGCGAGATTGTAACAGTGGATACACTTGATCAACGTTACATTTTATGTGCAGATTACGATCGGGATATGGTGTTGATAGAAGCACTTAGAAAATATCGAGAAGAAAATGAAAACGGAAATGCAATTATTTTCACTAACACAAAAAAGTAAAACAAATATCTTCTTTTCTATTTATACCTTTAAAATCGTTAAGAAATTTATTAATTTGAAAAATTTAATTTTTTTTATTTTGATTATATATACTACATATACTTTAATTTATTATTTAATTTTATATAGGTACTGTCAGTTGCTGTGTATGACCCTTAACAACATGAGTATAGATAACGTCTGCTTACATGGTTTTATGCGTCAGAAGGAGAGAGTTTCCGCTTTAAATCGTTTTAAATCGAATCATGTACGTACACTGATTGCTACTGACGTCGCTGCACGTGGTCTTGACATACCAAGTGTACAATTGGTAATAAATCATCGCTTACCGCGCACACCAACAGAATATATACATCGCGTTGGTCGTACCGCCCGTGCTGGACGTAAAGGAGTAGCAATATCTATACTTCGATTTCCACGTGACTTAGAATTGCTCGGCGAAATTGAAGCAACCATCAACACGAAATTGACAGAGCATCCAATCGACCGTAAATGTTGAACTAATTTTTCTATGTCTGCCTTTCTTATAATTTTTTACTATTTGGAATCTAGAACGAATGGTGGAGCGAATTTTTATGCAAGTTAATGTAACACGACGTGAGTCAGAAATACATTTAGATAACAACGATTTTGAAGAACGCGCTCAGAATTATAGGCGTAAACAGTGGATTTTGGAAGGCAAGAATCCTGATGTGATGGAAGAATCGTACGTATATCAGTTTTTCACATAAATCACAGCTTAATTTATAAAAAGGTTCTAATATCTAAACTTGTATATGTAACATCTGTGTTTCAAGTTTTCATAAAAATCGGCGGGATAAACTGCGTGAGTTTCGGCGGCAACGCAAAGAACGCCAAAAGGAATGGTCTGAAAAAGAAGCAAGATTTACAAAAGATGAACGTTTCAAAACAGTCGATGTTAAGCGCTTTGAAAAGCGTAAAAAGGCGAAACCAGCAAGTGCTAATAATGGCACAGATGAAACTAACACTGAATATTCTGTTAAACAAAATTTAATATTAAAATCAGATACCAAATCAAAAATTAGTAATAAGCGTAATCCAAGAGCGAATGTAAATCATATCAGAAATAAAAGAAAGGAATAAAACTTTAAATGTGGTTGTATATTGCTATTTTATATTGCAAAGTGAAATAATTAAGCCATATTCGCGATCGATTATTTGATACCTAAGCAATATGGTAATTTAACGGCTTAAAAGTTAACTTCTGAACATTATATTATTCAAAATCTCGACGTTTTAATGATTTAATTCTATAATTTTCATTATAACAAAAAATACACTTAAAAGCCTGATTTTCTCCTTTTCCGTGTATAAAAAATATAAAACTAATATCTGCACATGCCAATGCATTTATGTATATATTTTTCAACAATATAAATAACTAAATATGCACTAGGCAGACTCACTTTACATTTATAGTTTATGTATCTACATATGTATACATTTGTATAACATATATACAATACATCCATAATATTTAGGCTTTATAATAAAAAAAGTATAGGTTATGATTTAATCCAAGAATATGGTAAGTAATGAATCTTCTGGGTATACTTCCAACAAAGCCTTCGCCCCATCATTGAATGGATATGATATACTACCATCAATAACAAGATCTGAAAAAATATCAAATTAACAAATCGATAGCAGAATTAATACATTTCACACGTGAAATGATTTTTTAATCATTTAAAAAAAAATATTACAAAAAATTACTGTCAACTGTCTGAATAACTGAAAAACATGTTAGATAAACAACAAGAGAAGCAGTCATCATTTACTAAATGCAAATCGTTTTTTAGGGTAAGCAACTCGTGAAACGAGTAATCGTAATGTGTGCATCACGACCAAAAGTGAAATAATTGCATTCAATAATTTTGTGCAGGATCCTAGTTTGCTATTTGAATTTCAAACCGAAACAGTAAAACTGCTTGTGTACAACTTTGCCATTGTATTACTGATTGCAAATCAAGATGTTGGCTGGAACTATAAATTCAATGGTATACAGTGGTTTAACTCTCAGCAAGCGAATTTAAAAATTGCATATTTATGTAAAACGAATAATTTATGAAAAATTGTAGGGAATGAAATAGCAAATCGATTCGGTCAAGAACTGATCGAGCCAACTATTTTATCGAAATTTGGGTTCTGTTTTCGATTGTTGACAATTATATTAAACACATTGGCCGTCAATGTCATAATTAATCCGGTAACATATTAAAAGCAATTTTTTTTTTTTGCTTATATTGTTTGTAATATTAATTTTCTCTTATAGAAACGGAATAATCGCAGATTCCTATTGCCATGTATACTTTGGAATTTTTATAGTATCACTGCAGTGGCAGAAAACATTATGGAAATTATATGGACCATGTACCTACTGGAGGTGCCTTTTCACTTATTTCTCACCATTTCAATGGTTGGTATATTTATGATTTGTTTACAAAGTAAATTAACGCTGCAAGTGTTACGTTTCTACGAATATTTAAATTATGTATAGTAAGTATGTTAAGCGGCTGTCAATGATATATAGCAAATTGTTAAATGATATATGTAATAATAAAAAAGAGAAAATATGGCTATAAACTATCATGCACTTACTCGCATCAATACAACGAGACTTCACAAATAAGCTATTTACAAATTTGCGTGCCTTGAAGTTCCTTGGACTGGGCCAAACTCCCACACATATTTGCTCACGGATCGAATAACACAAGCGTGGATCATCTGAATCAAAATAATATTTTAGCTCAAGTATTTGTATTTAATATAGATATTTTATTACCTGGACCGAAACGTAAATTTTGGTTGTACTGAGTAGCGATTTCGTCTGAATCAAAAACTGGCTTTGGTTTGTCACAGCCGGAGTCAGGAATAGGCAATATGCTTAATAGGTCTTCTACTTGTTGGGATGTAATGCGATTTATACTGTAATATGTAAAAGAAATAGGTCTTGAGATATAAAATATAGTTCCGTTGTTGAAAAATAAAACAATTTAGATATTACGCTTCATCAAACACAAAAATTTTCAAGCTACTGTAGCTGGTAAATCATACTACACAAGACATTTAATTTGACGACTGCGGAATTCAACCAACCTCTGCACGACTCTGCCTTCGAAAGAATATATTAACGTTATCATTGAAAAGTCCTCATATCCATTCCTCCGTTTATAAAACATATTTCCGTTGTAAACCCATACTTTTGTGTAGCATATGGCTATATATCTTTTTTTTAACCAGAGAGTGTTGAATATGGAAATACCAACCTTCCCTAAAAAATTTAGAGCCGTAAATCTAAAGCTCGACCTACCTTATTAAATTTATTAAAAAGCTTTAAATAAAAGTTTGTAAGCCCAAAAATTAAACTTCAAGTAGAATTTGATAAGCTTAGGAGATATTTTCGAGGCTATACATTAGCAAATAATTCCGAGGTAATTTCGTGTAAACACAAATAAATAAATAAAAATCGCGTAAACAATAAAGCAGAAACGTACCGAAGGCAAGTTGGAAGCATACCAAATTCTCATTTCCCAATTTAAGTGGAACATCTAACAGTGTTTAAAATTACTACCTTCCTAATGCACCTTCCGAAAGCATTTTTAGTAGCGGTATTTTTTATATATTCTTAAGAGATATGTACATACACAGCATTCATACATATTAGTTCATAACTCAACCAAACTTCGTCTAATTCAAACATTTAAAAATTTTAAAACTTGCATTCGCATAGGTCATGGGCGATAGAAATTCTATATTTAGATATACCATATATGTATATATTTATACTCAAATTCATAAATCTTGGTTTGTTTAATTATATTTTATTAAAAAGTATTTTTCACGATTTGTTTATATAAGCTATCAGCATTAATCTATATTTATAATACATTTTGTATACTACCGGCACAGTAAACAACTCTATAAGATGGCTCTTGCATTTATACATCTTATAATTGATTATAAATTTAATATAAATAAATTTAAAATGAGGGCTATATATTGAAATCCATATATGTATATACTTTGCAAAAGTAAAACAAACAAAAAATATAATATATATAATCTAAGACATGTTTATCGAAAACATAATTCGCATTTACCTCGTGTGCCATGAAGTCGATCCTGTGCCAGTGCTTACACATAACCCCGAACATTTTGTTTTATTGTCTATATTCTCGTGATTGATAACTAATTGCAAATGGGATACACGCGCCGAAAGTTGCTCTCCAATGAACACCTGCAATAAAAAAAAGTTGATTCCATATATTTTTATGTTAAATAAATTCCTATTCACCTCATTCAGCGCCAAATATGGTAAAACTCTTTTCATTTTAGCCTTATAACGTAACGACCAAGCTTTACTTAAATATTCTGGTTCAGTTTTCTCTTGTTCCATTTTGGTTACAGTGTGTCGATATAAGTCAGTGGATTCAGGTATTTTGCCATTACTACCTAATATAGATGTACGGATGCGAGTTCGATACATCCATTGAAAATCTCCCTGTCAAATAAAATTCATCCATGCAATTTAAAAACTGAAAAAATACATTTTTTAATTTACCTACGCTCTTTATTTTGGTTACCGCATCTGCTGTATTTTCTGTATAATGTTTTGGCAACATTAATCGTCCTTCAGATCGTTGGGGATCTGAATTAAAGCCAACAATGGGTGTTTTCTGTTGACTTTGAGCAAAGAGTGGACTTGCCCGTCCCGCTGCTAGCAAAAACGTTCCATCACCGCCTACCGGTACAATCAAATCAGCCCATTTCATGATCTCTTTGCTTAGAGAGCTTCTAAATTCGACTCTAATTTTAGTAAATTCAAACATTCATCAATCATTCAGACAGATGCAGACACATATGTATGTATGTATGTATGTATGTATGTATGGAGATATGCATATATGTATGTATTTATACTCTCCAAAATTTGTCTTTGCAATGCAGTAACGGATCAACTATTGTCTCTAAAACTGCAGTCATTGATCATGGATCATAGAGCAATATTTCAGGGATCAAGTTTTTTATGTGCTCTTAGTAAAAATTCTTCAAACCAAAAACAGTTATGATTTGCAAGTACAGTCGACGCTCACAAGACCACTTTGTTTTAAATTAAAAAATTTTTGAAGTTTTTTAATTGGATATATCAAAAAAACATCATTTAAAAAAAAACAAGAAAAGAAAAGGTAACAATCCTGTGCAATACATATCATATGATCTTTTTCAATTAAACATATGTATGTAGACGTTGAATCAAAATTTTAGGCAACAAATCGAAAGCTCAGAAATTCGAATTTCCGAAATAATTTCAGAATGTTTAACGTATTGCAAACGCTGACTCTAATTTCAGGAAATTTAATTTCTGAAGGTTCTAGTGCGTGAGCGTCGATTCTAAATGGATTCTAAAAATATATTAATATGAAAGATGTCTACGAAAAAATGCAACAATCAGACCTACATATGTATGTATATGTAATTACCTATTTGCCACCTTCACTTCGCAGCCCACATTGAGAAAACTTTGCACCACATTTCTTTCAAAGTCCTTATGTAAATTATGTAGGTACATAAGCATTTCAAAGTCAGTGCCACGATCACGCAACTTCTTCTCCAATTGTACTCGACTAAGCTGGGGATTGCGCATCTGTTCAAATTCATATCGTGAAAACTTGGTAATGATTAATGCACGTTGTAATTTAAATTGGGTTGATGGATATTTAGCCATACTCCCACAGCCCTTGTTATGGCTGCTGATTTTACGCCACATGCGATATTCTAAAAGAATTAAAACGCACATAGATAGGTATGCAATTACCGATATTAGACAATTATTAAAAAAATAAAAACGAATGAAAGGTAAGTTGTGTCAAAGAAAAAATCAGATAAATTTAGAAATTACTCAACCAAATTCGGTTTACAAGTTTCTATCCACTCGTCCAGTTAACTCTTCACTGTATAAATCAGTCAATACGGAATATGGGATATCTTTATAAAATAAGCTGATTATATTACAATACTTGTAATAAAACGTCAACAAATTATGAAATCGGTGCAAGCCTATAGAACTTCTCTTTGATCACATATTTAGATTGAATGCTATCCCAGAAAACTTTTAAGAATGTTAACTTGATAATGTCATATGGTACCAAATAATTTGCCCACATTTGATGGACCAAAAATATAATAATGAATAACAATGATAATAAATGAATAATGAAAATATGTGAGAATATTTCATCTTCAATTTCCCACCCTAGCCCATAAAATTACGGAATAACAAGAAAAAACGTTAACACTTGATTCCGATCGTTCAATTTGTATGACAGCTATATGATATAGTGATCTGATCTGAACAATTTCTACTTAGAATACATTGTTGACTTAAGCAACAACTCGTGTCTAATTTCGTGAAGATTCCTCGTCAAATGAAAGAGTTTTCCATGCAAGCACTTTACTCCGATCGTTTAGTTAATATGACAGCTATATGCTATAGTCATCCCATCTATACAATTTCTTCGAAGATTAGATTGTTGTCTTAGAAAATAACTCAAGCCAAATTTCGTGAAGATGCCTCGTCAAATAAAAAAGTTTCCCATACAAGTACTTGATTCCGATTGTTCAGTTTGTATGGCTGCTATATGCTATAGTGGTCCGATATAGGCCGTTCCAATAAATGAGCAGCTTTTTAGTGAGAAAAGGACAGGTGTAAAATTTCAGAACGATAGCTTAAAAACTGAGGGACTAGTTTGTATATATACAGACAGACCGACATGGCTAAATCAACAGCTTATCATGCTGATCATTTTTGTATATATTTTATAGGATCTCCGACGTTTCCTTTTGGGTCTTACAAACTTCGTGACAAACTTACTACAAACTGTTCAGGGTATAAAAAATGATCTCCTTGTACCAAGCAAGGGTCGTGAAATTTTATTATACATATGTATATAACAGTTTTTTGAAATAAAAATTTAAATAGTGGGTAAGCCTCCTTGATGCACCTTGGGAGTATCGCATTAAATAAATTATATGGTAATATTAAATTTTTTGTATTTTAAAAGAATGTGGGTATAGCACCTGGTCGATTTTGGTTATCGTGTTGTTCGTACTGAAATGAGTGATAGTGAGATTAGACGAATTACAATATGCTAAACCAAAATTGTCAATTTGCATTCAAAATAAATATTTAAACATAACAATTTAGTGGAGAAATATTCTCAGGTATTCAGGTATTTGCACAACTTTATATTAAAAATGAAAGGAGGTCATGGATTTACTAAGCTTCTGTACTATATTTTAACAACCTAACTAACACAAATCACTAATTTCATCCCAGTTTCTGCTGGGATGTTTTCGCAGAAACCACCACTGCAGTCGCCTGCTTGTAACGGAGCAGCCTCCTAGGAACATCAAGAGGTCCTTCCTTGACTACGTCGACGACATTAGACAGTACGCCGACCAGACTTCGGACGCAACTAACTTCAGACAGTGAATGGCTTAATACGAGTCAAACCACCACCCATTGCAGACACAGAACTCGAGTTGCCTCGCGAATCTAGAGTGACCCTCGCGCAACTTCGTTCTGGATACTGTAGCAGGTTAAACTCCTACCTATCCAGAATAGACCCTGACATACCAAACACATGTCCTGCATGCAATGAGTCTCCGCATAACACTAACCACCTCTTTGCATGCCCAACAAACCCCTCTCCCTATGGTCCGACCCCGTCGAAACAGCTCGTTTCCTGGGCCTTCCGTTAGATGACCTCGACGACAACGAATCTGGAATTTATCACCCAAACGGGGATTAGATAATCGTTACAACAACAACAACTAATTTCATCACCTTAGTGCTGTGAGAAGGTACATCAAATGCGCATATCACTAAATTTTACTGCCAGAACCTATAATACTGACGTGATACAAACAAAACCAAAAGACACGAAATTCAATATACTGGGAAAGTGCGAATTCATTATATTTGGCATATGAGGGCTAGACCAAGTTCTGAACCGATTCACTATATCTGGACTGAATTCATTTTCTTTTACCTTAAATCCAAAGTATACTTTACAACATATTTCCACGCCATTTTATTAAGATAACTTATGCATTGACATAAGGTTAATTAGAAATAACAAATATTATTATATTAGTCTATGAGGGCTGAGATAATTTATGGACAAATTCTTTCATTTTCGGCATCAAATTACAGAAAATATATAATAATATAAAATAATCATAATCAAGTTCGCATATTCGGTATCTGAGACTTGAAAAACTATTGTCCAATTTTTAGAAGAGATATCTGCATATGTGGTTGATATATATATGTATGTACTTATATATTATGAAATGAAAACTACAAAAGCTTATACATTTATTTTCCACCTATTTATATTCCTAATCTTTTTAACTGATTGGCACGCATGGCTCTGCCCGTTCAATAGTTGATACGCTTTTAATTTGTTGAAACTTTAGTTTTACAAGTTTCGCTATTGTTCCTTTTCGGATTATTCCTCATTCAATATAAAATTCTTATCAATAAACTTATCCCTCTTAAATACTATACAGTACTATGCAAAACAAAAGCAACAAATTTATTTCAACCGAAACTTTTAATATACATATTTCCTTAAAAAAATATTTTACAAAAATATGACGGCTAAAAAAATGGGTCGGCTTTAGTATACCAACCCCCGATTTCAGGGTTAAAAGGGGTATGGCTGAATAGAGGATATGCTTAAAATAAGAATATATACAATTATAGCCGCCGGAAACTTATAGTTTTCGAAATATTTGCGTTTTAAGCTGAAAATTTCACAAATTTTATCTTACAATTTCTCGATTTATAGTTAGTTTTTCTTTTATATTATGCCCTTATTATACACTTACACTTCACTACAATGTTTATACGTATTTGTTTTATATTAATTCTTTTAATATTTGCTTTAAATAAGCATTTTATTTTTACACAATTTTCGTTATTTGTACAATAACGCGAAAGGAATAACGACCACCCCGGTGTTGGATCGGCCAGGTTTATTTTTTCGAAGCGCGGCCGAAGGCCGCCAATGTAAATAGAAAATCTAACCAAAAATAGTAATGTTAAAGAGGGTATATCACTCTCTATAAATCGAGAAATTGTAAGATAAAATTTGTGAAATTTTCAACTTACAACTCCTTTATCTGGAGAATGTCCTCTATCCAACCAGACCCCTCTTAACCCTGAAATCGTGGGATAGTTTACTAAAGTTTCCCCAAAAAAATAAATAAACAGTCAATAAGGAAGTGTTCAAAACTAAAGTAACAAATCACTTTAAATACACAGGGCGCAAAGATCTTCAGAAATAACGGTACAATTGTTGTTTTATGGACGTAAAAAACGATGTAGATTAAATTGATTAGCAGCTAATTTTGTACATTAGAGGCTTTTGGTACTTGCTTACAAAAAAACATATGGAAAATAATTGCTACTGGCTAAAATGTCAAATATCAATTAGAGCTTTAACAAAAGTTTCCGATATTTGTTTTCTAGACTAAATTTTGCCACCACATTGCAATTGGTCATACATAAATGGAATACAGGTTTATTTAACGATGAATTTAAATTTAATACGATTAATTCTGATGGAATGTGTACAGTCCGCCGTCATAAGTGTAAACGTCTTGATTCACGGAATTGTAAGATAAGTTTCAAACATAGCGGCAGTAGCATTTTAGTTTGGACTTGTTTTTCCAGCAAGAGTGTTGATCCTTTTAAAAAAATAAATGGTACAATGGACCACTTTTTGTATAAAGATATTTAAGAAGCGAAAATGATACCATATGCTGAATGGAATATGCCTCTTCGATTGGTCTTTCAACACGATAACGAGAGATTACAAGAATGAAATATTAAGCCATCACATTTTTGTAAAACTTTTTTTAAGAAAATATATTAAAAGTTTGGGTTAAAATAAGTTTGTTGCTTTTGTTTTGCACAGTACTGTATATATATATTCTATAAAAATTAGTATCATACAGTGAGAATCAGTATTCACTTATGTTTGGATCTCTTTATCTCTTTAATAGAATGTGGTACTTTATTATTTTCATTTTCTGGAATTTCATTATAAATGTTATAGACTTGATGCAGTGACTTTTATAAAATATTATTAATTCTAAAAATATATAATATACATAAAGCAATAAAAATAAATAATTTTATTAAAAAAATATAACATTTACCTTTTGCAATTTGACGAGTCAATGTTTTTGACTTCAACATTTCTGTCTCCTATTTTCTCGTATTTTGTGTTATCAATAGATTCACCCAATGTCAATTACTATAGACCGCTCGAAAACAAAGAATGAATCCGGTTAGGCTCTTATTATATACGATAAAGTTTTTTATTGAGTTTCAAGTTCATTTTTTCTTCTACACTTTCGACCACTATTCGAGGTACGATTAAAGTCTATGATTGTAATAAATACTGCCCACTAATCTTCAGCATCAAGTTAAATAATTACATATACAAACAGATTTGTATTCACTAACTACTTCTTTTTAAACAGCTGCCGAGAGATTATGTTCTATATATACACGCTATGTGTAAACGTACATACATATGCATATAAAGTATGCCTCTTTCATATATTATATATATTTACTGGATTTATTATTACGGAAAGCTTTTTAAATTTCTTAATTTCAATGCAAAAATGTTGCAGTCTTTTGGTGCCTATCTAAGGGTATATTATATTTGAAAATATAAACACGAATATGATGAATGCATATTAATGTTTACTTTCAATTCATTACACCGGTTAGCTTAGAAACTTAAACTCACTTTGACTTATTCGACATCACTGATTTTACAATACTCTAGTTTATGCTACATATGTTTTATTTAACTAAGTCAACTGTTGGACACGCTACACTTCTAAGTATTAGTAGCAAAGATAATTAATAGTCGAGTCTTCCAATTCATTGATAAAAAGGGGCATATATTTGTTAAACTAAATTTACAATTGTATGATTTGCTTCTTCTTTCCACACATTGCGATCACAATAATATTATGTTTTCACAATTCGGAATTTAAATTCTGATCATAACATATTGTCCCCTAAAATGTTAAATGCATAACATTATCTTCCATAAGTTTACAAAGGGAAAGCACGATAAAAAAAAAAAAAATATTAACACTAAGAAATATGTTCCACAAATATCTATAAGGAATTCAACTTTAATTTTATAATCCATTTAAAAAAATAAAATAAAAATCCATAACAAAACCAGATAATAGAGAACTTATAAAAACCTCATTTCAACATAAAAAAAAGTAATTGACCAATTTTTTTTCAACTGGTGTTAAGTTTCCCCTAACTATATTTCGATGTTTAGCCAAATCTATAGTTAAGTGTTACCCCACTTGAATTGGGTGTAACTTTGCAATTATCAATTCCTGAACCGTCGGAACTTACGACCTCGCCACTGGGACATTTGTAAAGTAAGGATTTGCCCTTAAAAAAAAAAAACATTATTTCAAAAACAATAATAGTAATATTAATAATACCTGTAACTCGTGAATTTCTTTTTGAATTTGCATATCGTATATCGGTTTGTGCGCTGTCTGTTTTTGGCCAGACTGAAATAACTCCAATAATTTCCCAGCCCACATTGCCATGGTATCAGCTTTCAAATTATTATCATTGACGCCTAGCAAAGCTTTTATATCACTTGGTGCTTGATTTGCAGGTGGTTTCAAAACTTGTTGTGCAGTGGTTTGTACCACACCTGTTGTAAGTCGTCTAGGAACGGTAATACTTGGACATTCAATTGTCAGATCACGAACAGGACCCCGCGGTTTATTAAGGTAAATTGAATTGTTACTGTTGATTTGCTCCAGTACACTTTTGATTCTTTTGCTACAAAACAAAAAAGTGACAAAATAAAATTAATGTCACAGATTACGCCGTAAAATTTAAAATAAAAATTAGCTACAGAAAGGTTCTCTGTGAGCTCAAACTTCACTTTAAATACGTATGTGTTTTAATTAGCTTAATTCGTTTTATATTTATATTATATATATATGATAATATGATTTTATATTTATTATTTCGTCTTAAGGTAAATCAGTGCCTGATTAAACCTATGTTGGCCTTTATTAGCTTTGATGATTTAAATTTAACTAACACCTAAAAACTTGACTCGTTAACAAAATATTTACGTACTTCAAATTATCTTCATTGTTGCGCTGATTAAAACGATGAATACGTCCACTATTATTAATAGGTAAAATATTTCCATTATATCCTTCACTACCACTTCCTCCATTACGATTCTTATTCCAATTCATATTTTGGCTTTCATTATTTATATAGTTGTTTCTTCGATTTCCACATCCATCTTTATTGCGCCTACGGGCATTCTGATTATTATACCATCGTCGACGAAACTGTCCACTACCACCTGAAAACGACATTGCATTTTGTTGGGTTTCCAAGTTGGACTTAAACTGGGTGTTTTTTTGTATACAGTTTCTTTCATTATCGGTATGATCAAATTGTTCACGCTCTTTAATAGTACTGCGACCAATTATATTACTGTTTTGAAGTAGTTCGCGTAAATCATTGGGATTTTTTAGTTTCTGAACTTTCTGTTTTTCTTCATTCGATAACTGTAATTCTGGATCATTGAACATCTCATCGAATTCATCCTTCATATAATCCAAATCAATATAATTGGTTTCGCAACTTGGACCTCGCCAAATGCCAAATGTCGCTTTTATTTTACCGCTAGAACTCACAGTAGTCTTCTCATCAGTTATTGATTGCAAACTCTTGCCCATAATCTCATTATAATCGTTGGCATCATTGCTTATTTTAGAGTTTCGACTTCCAGCTTCAGAGTTGTTCGAAATGTTGATACCTGCTCGTGAGCTCTTTTTATCAATACTGTATAAACTATTTTTCCTTGTTGCAATATATTCATCTAAATTATAGTATTTTATTACTATTTTAATTTTTCAATCAAAAGAATTATGTTACCTAATGACATATCCATAAAATTTTCCACATTGGAAGCCATCGTACAATAAGATTTTGTCAGTTCTCGTAAAAACCTTCAGTCATCGAAATTAATGTCAAATGTCTTAACAGGCATTAACACCTCCTATTAAATCAAACGTTTAAAAAAATAATGATGTTCATTAAAATTATATTTAATGCTAAAGTCTACTATGGATAGTATAAAAAATGATAGAAAACAGACAGCCAATTGTTACCAAACAGAACTACTACACAGTTACCAATACCGTTATTATTCATATGATGACAAGCTGCCATCGCTTTTGGATTGTTAATATATTTATGACTAATTTCGCCAGTTACACATTCAATAGTTATTATGATATTTCGGTCGTCATTCATATTGATGATTGATGATAATTATATTGAGATTTACTAAATTTTGTATTTAAATTCGAGATACGAAGTTTGTCCCCTCGTTGATACAATTTAAAACGTGCGATTTTTATTAAGATTGTATTATTAATAATATTTATATAAAAAATTTAGCTTTTTCAAAGATCCGATGAATTCTTTACAATGGTTGCTAGTATTTTTTTTTTATTTTGCTTCAAAGATTTCTTTGAATTTTGTTCTTTAAAGCCATAGAAATTAACCACGGACATAAAATTAAGAAATTAATAATTTTGCTTTACCTTATTTTTTAACATATTTGTTTCAAAAACTCCATTTATTTGGCCCAAATACTGACGTAATAATTATTGAACGTGTAGCATTCATTGCGAACCATCAATCATCAATATGGATCACGATCCAAATATCATTGAACGAGATGCAGGCACCATTGTCATGGCATGATCATCTAAGCGCCATAAATGTGACATATTTTACAGTGCAAGACGAGATTTTTGTGCTCATTTTAGCATTTCGAGAGAGAACGGATTGCAATACAATGTTAAAATAAGCTCTTTATGCCTGTGACAGACATGTGATAACAAAACCATACTACAAACAAATACAAGATATGTGTCACCAAATAATAGTACTTTACCATGTGAACAATGTAGTATTTTGCTCCTAACTCATATTTCATTGTAGTATTTTAAGAAACACAGCTAAAAAAAAGGTAAAAAAATTAGGTAAACGTTTTTGCACAAAAGCTCTTCAAAATATTCTATTAAAATGACAATGTTTTTATTGTTTACAATATTTTGAATTATCTACTGCCTTTAAAACAAAGTTAGTAAACCCAAATACTAACTACATTGTTATATGTGTAATGAACCGTAGTAAATAAAATACTACACTATTTGTATTATGGTATTGAACCACGGGCATTGTCTGTCACAGGAATTATGCCTTAAGCATATATTACATATTGAAAATAGCAAAAAAAATTATGATTTGCATATACTCTTAAGATGCTTTCGTACAACGAGATGGTCTTTCCCAATTCATATCTTTCTACCCATTCCAGTTTTCCACTAAATTATTAATTTCGTGCAAAACTTTCAAAGTGACGACGGGATCTATTATGGCCAATTCACATAGATTTTCCACGCAACAGTTGCCATTTTTTTGGATAGTAACACTGACAGCAAAGCGTTCATTGTGGAATACCCTTTGTTGTTTCAGAATGAACTGTCACGCAAAGCGTGGAAAGCTGTATGTAAATGGGATTATCCAGTTGCTTGCAGCCTAGATCAAGACTTACAATTAGAATCAATTTTGACAAGTAGTTAGTTTGCTCAACTTGAAAGCAAGTTACTGATCGTATTACTGCAGCGTTACTCGTCCAACGCTCATAAATTCAGTGGAAGTCAAGAATGATAGAATACTATATGTATATACACTTGTTCTGCAGGATTATGGACAAATATTTAGTTTTTTTGTAACCCAAATTATAACATGATTCTTAGTGATTTCCATTCCCGGTTTGTTTTACAAAAACTTTTTGGCCCTATCGTACACTTATAATATTAATTTGTTAAATGTATCTTGTTTTAACATAATTGAATATTGTAAAGAGGTACTTAGTTAAAACATGCAGGCAATAAATGTGGTAACCATGCCTTTAAATATTGGACACTAGATGCCGCGCTAATTCTAGAAGAAGGTTCGCTTCCTGATTCATTGTTCAATTTTTGGATTTCGATCTGAGGGAGAACACGTGTGAAGTAATTTTAGAGTATTTGTCTTGTAACAATAAAGGAGTTTGGGTGAGTAGTAATATAAATGTATTTTTTATGGCAAGATTTATATACCTTTGGTACAGTAATTGTTCTTTTCATCAAAGGAAAAAAGCTGTTGTGGAAACTTAAAAAATAAAAATGAATGCACATGTTTCATCTACAATAAAATCAATGACAGTTTTTTATAATTATAACGTGATCTATATACATATACACACATATATACAGATGTGTTGCGATGTATAACTCTTATTTCTGCAAATAAGTGATGCGTTCAATGATTATCGCCATGTGGTTAGTTAGTATAATGTATGAGCCATGTGTTCTAGGAACATTGCATCACATCCTTTTTTAAGGATTGTATTAATAAGCCTTTGTGTATGTGTATGCTAAATATTTACCCATTTGTTTTTTTTTTTTACAGCTGGACAACGGAAATGTCTAGTTTAGTATGGGGTAATACGTGTAAGTATGTACATAATATCGATAAGTTAAGTATACAAGTTAGTCGAGTACAGAGTCGCTGGTTTGAAGAAAATTTACACTTCTACTAGTGCTTTATATTTGCTCGCAAAGAAACTTTCTTCGCCCAAGCATAATCCAAATTTAACTGTAAATTTGCGATGCATATTTTTTTGTGAAGCAAACATATATTCATTCTGAATTATATATTGGAAGTAATAAGCTAATTTTAATGTTTCTGTTTAGAAAAGATCAACATTTGGGGACTAACTGAACCTAAAAAGTTTTCTACACCGTAGAATGGAATTCCATTTCATCGTTTTTATAGGTAAATTAAAAAAAGTAATTTAAATAGTATACATGGCACTGATGATAAAAATATTTTCTTTTCTGACATCTCTTATGAATCAATGTGATTTCAGTTGTTTTGCTGACCGATTGAAATAGCTTTTATAATTATAAATGTAGAACTTTTTGTAAAAACTATTCTGTTTTCTAGGATGATGAATGTCTTGTGAAACAAAGTCTAGTTCCTCATGGTTAGATGTGGAAAAATCTGTGAAAAGATTAAAAATAGGCATGAGGTAAAAAGTTGTGGATTTATTAATATGCAATATTTCACCGTGATGATATTATAAACCATTCACAGACAACCATAAAATGGCACAGCGCTGAACAAACTGTTTCAATATTCTTTTGAAACATGTTCGTTCTGTTGTTCCGGTTATGGAAAATGGTTAGAAAATGGCACTGAGTTTCATGTATAGTTTTAAATTTACATATATATATTATATTATTTAACTCTTTTTTTTGATTTAATTTCAGAAACATAACCATATGGATCAAATGCTAGCTGCTATATATATTGTACAGGATACCCTTAAAAAATGGATCTGTGGAAGTAACTAGAATGACGAAGGCCGAGACGATAATTTCTTTACATATAAATAAAATTGTATTGCATTTAATAAAATAATAAATATATGTTACAGCTACTTGCATCCTAATCAAATATTTTATATATAAATTTATTTTGGAAAGTCCAGACCGTGTATAATAATTCTCCATGAAATATAGAGCAATTAAGAAAAAAGCGAGGGAATTTATAATAATTAGTAGTCCTTTGTCTCAAAACTGTGTTGTTGCAATATTCTAAAGGTAAATAAGCAAGGTAGTTATTTCCCCTTTGCATCTTGATACGTTAAATTTGTAATGGGTTTAGTGTACTATATCGATATAAATATGAGTTTAGAACAAGGGTCAAAGTGGTCTAAATACCTTCAGGGGTTCGCAATAATAAAAAATGTAGCGAAAGCGTTCAACTTGATTGTTCGACAAAGCGTGAAGGGATTACAATCAAATTTGATATTATATTAACTTATTTTGAAGGTCATAGACTCCCTTAGTTTTATTACTATATTCTACTACCCGACAACCAAAAATTATACTAAAATCAGCCTTAAATGAGAATAGAAGTTGGTTTTACGAAAAAGCCTTTGTGTGGTAATTTTAAAATCAAACTAAATTACGTATGTATATTGTTTTATTTGATATCAGAAATCATTTTTAACTAAATTGGCACGCTCCCTTAAAGCGAGTTCTTTATCCTGTTTCAATCTCATCCGATCTCCTTTAGATTTCTTTCCAATTCCTAACTTTGGTAGTCCTCTATTTAATCCTTCTAATAAAATACAAGCTTTACACGGTTGCTGAGATGATACGAATCCACAGCGTTCACATATGCCTCGAACTGGTTTTTTTACAGTGTCTTTAAAAAGTAGTTGCTCTCCAGAATGTATTATATCCATAATAACCGAGGGTCGAACTCTTTCCAAGTCTTTTAGGTATGCTCGAGCATGTCCTCGATATGCGTTGGGTGCGAAGACACACTCGGTTGAAAAGTACACCAATTTTTTAAAATGAGCATACATAACAATTTCCTTTTCGTAAGTATATTTAAGAGGTTTGACGCGAGGAATTGTGTTCTCTCCGCCACCTGTACTTATATCCGTGCAACGCATTAAACGAGCGGTATCTCCCCGCAAAATGTTCATCAAAACGGTTTCTGCTATATCATCGGCATTATGTCCAGTTGCTATACTATCTACTTCAAGCTGTTTTGCTCCACGATCCAATGCCTGTCGTCTAAAAACTCCACAAAAAGTGCAATTATTTGATCGTCCAATTTGTCCAACAATACGATCCATAGTCCAACCATACAATTCATCGTAAGAAAGTATTTTTAGAGGCATTTGATAGTCATCGCGATTTTTTTTAACTGTCTCAAGACTGTCATCTCGGTACCCAGTTATGCCTTCATCGATGGATAAAAGAATTAGTTGAAGGCCATAATCATAGCGATCATTGAGTATTTTTAATACATAAGCTAAAACTGTTGAATCCTTTCCACCGCTCGCGGCTACAGCAATCTTTTCTCCTTTTTTAAATAGTTTATTAGTTACTATTGTATAGTGAATTTCTGCTTCAAAAGCGGCAAAAAAGCATTCTTTACATAGAGCGTCTGATGTTTTTGGGCGCTATATGTATGTACACGATAGAGATAATTAAACAAAATATTAATGGAATTTAATTATGAGGATATTTACCTTAAGTACTGCATTTCGGCCACAATCCGTTTTACATTTAATCGGCATGTCTATATCTTTGAAAGTAAAAAGTTTACAAAAAAATTAAATTTTTTGTTCATTGAAATGCGTAAATTTTTTTTTGTAAAAAAGGAAAATTTACCATTAAAGTTGTTTTCACTAAAGGTAACATTCACACATGCTTCTTACTTCCTGTTTTCACATATAATAGTTTTTATCTCGATAAACTTATCAGAATCATATTTTCAATGGAGTGAGTTAAATACTGAGCAGCCTACTAGCAAAAACATTTAACGCAATATCTATGGATATTGGCAATATTTTTGTGTGGAAATTTGTTATCTTAACATAATCATTTGCGAAATTGAGTCGGACAAGCAAGTTTGAAATATAAAAGCGCATGTTTACATTAATCTGTTCATATCATATACATTCACACATTTACACGATTAAATTAACCATATTGCGTTTGTTAAAGCGAGCAAATCCTGAAACTAATAATCACTTACTTTTTGCAGGCATAATATAGTAGATTTTTGTTAAAACATCGCCACTCGAACATTCTGGCAACTTCGAATAGATTCTTCCAGCTTTTGGCAGAGAACGTATATTATATAAATCAGTTGATCTCTTTTGCTTTCATTTCACCAATGTGGCCATTGTTCTATTTGTATACACGATTTTTCACACATTTAGTTTTTTAGTTATGATTTTTCCTTATGTAAAAGCTCAAAACTAAAATCCAACTATTAAATATAGTCTAATTATTTATAATAATATGTATTCCTTTGTGATGTTGAGGTATTTTAAGAATATTTCAAATATTAGGTAAAGTAAAAAGTTCGTTCGGTTTTTTATTGATTTTTCAAAAGATGATAACTTTGTGTGCATTTGTCCGATTTAAATCAAATATGTGCCGTTTTGTTCATAAACTTGTTGCCAACGAGATGCCAACTTCATTATATCCCTCTCGTAGAAGGCTGCGTCCCTATTGGCAAAAAACTCGGAGAGCCAATTTTCACAGGCCTCTCTTGAGACTAACTTCTCACCATTAAGCGCGTTCGCCATGGACAGGAAAAGATGGTAATCACTTGGTGCCAGGTCCGGACTATAAGGTGGGTGCATTAGAACCTCCCATCCGAGCTCTCGGAGCTTCTGGCGCGTCACCAAACACGTGTGTCCTGATGGAACACAATTCGGCCTCTGTTGATCAAAGATGGCCTCTTCTGGATGAGTGCTGCCTTCAAGCGGTCCAGTTGTTGGCAGTAGAGGGCCGAATTGAGCGTTTGGCCATAGGGGAGCAGCTCGTAGTAGATAATTCCTTGCCAATCCCACCAAACACACAGCAAAACCTTTCTGGCCGTCAATCCGGTATTGGCCACCGTCTGGGCCGCTTCCCCGAGCTTTGACCACGACTGTTTGCGCTCTATGTTGTCGTAAGTGACCCATTTTTCATCGCCAGTCACAATCCGCTTCAGAAACGGGTCGATTTTGTTGCGATTCAGCAGCGATTCGCAGATGGAAATTCGGTCCATCATGTTTTTTTGCGTTAGTTCGTGTGGCACCCAAACATCGAGCTTCTTTTTGAATCCAAGGTTATGCAAATGGTTCCAAACGGTTTTCTGGCTTCTTTTTGAAGCTTGCCCACAAGTTGCAGTGCAAGGATGTAGTGCAGTTGTACGGGTTTTCCGGATACCCAGTTTCTGGCACATCTACTGAATTAGAGCTGATTCAAAATTTCTCCCTTGTTCAGAATGTAATTCTATTGTAACACCATATCTCGATACCCAATTGTTAAAGAATACATCTGCTACTGTTCCTGCCTCTTGGTTGGGAATTGCATATACCTGTGGCCATTTGCAGAAATAGACAAAAAAACATATTTGTCTCCTAATTTACTGATAGGAAATAGACCAGCTACATCCATGGCGATTCGCTCAAACGGCGACTGGAATTGTACTGCGTCATCTGACCATGACTCCTGGACCTCGGCCCTTTAGCAGCAATGCACTCTGCACAATTGGCGATCCACTCCGTAACTGATTGACAACAACCAACTAAATAAAATCTTTGTTTTAATTTCTCCAAGGTTTTCGGGAGCTTTGCCCATCTTCGCTTTCCCATACGCGATGCAAGCAACCAAATACCAACTTTAAACTATTCCATTGTGCCCAATATGCCTTTGCGACTGGGTTTTATGCAGCTATATCTTCTCTCGTGGGACGTTTATTTATTTCCAATCCATGTATTACACATTTCAAATCTGAATCTTTCTGCGGACATTTCCGTAGTTTCTCCGGATCCCAGTCTGATATTTTTGTCATTAATCGGACATCTATAATGTCTTCTTTAGTCTGAGCTTTTTTGTGCTACAACCTTTGCGATGTTCTATGGAAAAGTCGTAACTTTGGAGTCTTTCAATCCACCGTGCCAACTGTCCTTCTGGGTTCATAAATTGTAGAAGCCTTTTTTATGCTGCTGGTCGCTGTGCAGGCAAAAAGTAACGAAGGAGCGGACTTCGTCCTGGCAGCGGCCTACTTTCCGGGAGACACGCTGACAGCACCCCCAGAGGCCGTCGGAAGCCTCGTGGAATACTGCAAGAGGAACAACCTGCCCCTCGTCCTGGGATGCGACGCCAACGCCCACCACACGGAATGGGGCAGCACGGACTGCAATACACGGGGTGAGTCTTTACTTGAATTCATAGTCAGTAGGAATCTAAGTATAGTAAATGTGGGGTGCGAACCCACCTTTATAACCATTGCAAGAAGGGAAGTGCTTGACATCACTCTTGGTAACGAACTTGCGACGGGGCTGATCGGGCAATGGAGAGTGTCATCGGAACCCTCCATGTCAAATCACCGCATCATAAGATTCGCACTAGGGGTAGAGGTCAGGCAACTCCCTCCCAGGCGTATCCCCAAAAACACGGACTGGGCCACTTTTAGGGATACGCTTGAAATAAATGTCAATAGGAGGGGGCAGCTGGACGGCAGTGCCACTGCTTCTGGACTGGAGAGCAGATTGTCTACGCTAAACCAGTCCATAATAGAGGCATATAATAGTAGCTGCCCCCTAAAGACGACCACCAAGAATCGCAGCTGTCCCTGGTGGTCAAGTAGGCTCTCAGAACTAAGGAAAACGGTACGCAAGCTATTCAACAGAGCTAAGCGTACCGGGGACTGGGAGATCTACAGGTGCGGCCTAACTGCTTACAACAAGGAGATTAGGTCAGCAAAGCAGAAGAGCTTCAGGAAGTTCTGTGAAAGCGTCTCCTCAACGCCAGAGGCTGCAAGGCTGCATAAGGCCCTGGCTAGGGGTAAGACCGACACAGTACTAGCAATTAAAAGACCGGATGGGACCTATACGTCCAGCGCAGAGGAAAGAGCCACGGCCCTTTTACTTGCGCACTTTCCGGAGACGATTCGAGAAGACCTAGGTCGACCCATGGTCGAACGAAAGCCATCACGCTTGGACTGGATAGTCGCAAAACAGCTCTTCACTGCAGACTCCATCAGGTGGGCTTTGGCCTCTTTTGAAAAATATAAGTCTCCGGGTGCGGATGGCATCCTTCCAGCATTTCTGCAACAGGGGGAGCAGGTACTACTGCCCCACCTTGTTCGGCTGATGAGGGATAGCCTAGCGCTGACGTACATCCCGGAACCATGGCGCACTGCAAAGGTGATCTTCATACCCAAAGTAGGAAGGAAAGACTACTCATTGGCGAAATCCTTCAGGCCAATCAGTCTTACTTCCTTCCTACTTAAGAGTATGGAAAAGATCATAGACCACGAAATACGATCGAAGGTGCTGAAGGCTTCACCGCTTCACGCGAAGCAACATGCCTACAGAGCTGGCAGATCAACAAACACTGCTCTGTATCAGCTAACATCGGAGATCCAAAATTCGTTAGATGGGGGCGAGGTGATGTTATGCGCCTTCCTAGATATCGAAGGTGCTTTTGACAATACGTCTCATGAAAGCGTGTCAAGAGCACTAGAGAAAAGGGGTGTGGCGGCGCCGGTGCGCAGATGGATTGAAGCCGTACTGCGCACCAGGATTGCTGAAACCACAGTAAGCGACACTAGGATTCGTCTTGGCACAACAAGAGGCTGTCCACAGGGTGGAGTGCTATCCCCCCTACTTTGGAGCCTAGTTGTGGACGATCTTCTCGAGCTGCTAACTAGCAATGGAATCCGCTGTCAGGGATATGCGGACGACATTGTTATCTTAGCCAGGGGTAAATTCGCAGACACTCTCTGCGACATTGTACAAAGAGGATTGGGGCTGGCAAAGGGATGGTGTAGTGGGGTTGGCTTAAATATCAACCCCTCCAAAACTACAATCATACCGTTTACCAGGCGCAAGGTACTGCCAGGCCTCAGAAACCTATCCCTAGGCGGTATGGAGCTGGAGATGGCTAACACGGTCAAATACTTAGGCCTCACGCTGGATTCCACTTTACGATGGAAGCAGCATTTGGACCTGACCTTAACCAAAGCCACAAAAGCGCTCATGGTATGCAATCGACTTGCTGGGAAATCATGGGGCTGCAACCCAAGGATTATCAGATGGTTGTACACCATGATTGTGAGACCGATCATAACATATGGAGCGGTGGCCTGGGGTTCTAAAGCATCGCAGACCTCGGTAGGATTTCGACTATCGAAGCTGCAACGACTTGCCTGCATCTGCCCGTCGGGCGCGATGCGTACGTGTCCGACTGCAGCACTGGAAGTAATGCTGCAGCTCACACCGTTACATATAGTGATCGAACAGACGGCCAAACAGACCCTGTTTCAAATGTCAGCAGAAGGGTTTGGCAAAGGGAAGGTAATCTCGTCCCAGCAGATGAAGGCCCTAAGTGACGCAATGCCACTGGCCCTTCTTCCAAGGGACAGCATTACCAAAATAGTAAGCTTCACTAGGAAGTTCAAAGTTACCCTTGGCAGTAAGGCGGAATGGAATGATTCCACGCTGGACCTACTGCTAAGGCACAGCACTATCAAGTGGTACACCGACGGCTCGAAAACGGCGGAGGGGATTGGTGCAGGGGTCGCGGGACCACGCACCAAGCTCTCCATTCCCATGGGAAGTTTTCCTAGCATATTCCAGGCGGAGGTATATGCTATAAGTCGGTGTGTAGAGATAAACATCCAACGCGACTATCGCAATAAGAGTATCGCCATACTCAGCGATAGTCAGGCGGCACTTAAAGCGATCTCGGCTTTTGAAGTCACATCGCTACTAGTGCAGGAGTGTATAGAACGGCTGAACAGCCTATCAAATCACAATAGAGTGCACCTCATCTGGGTGCCTGGACACAGGGGTATAGCCGGAAATGAACTGGCTGACGAGTTGGCCCGCTCTGCAGCCTCTACAAAAATTTTAGGACCAGAACCGTGCGTAG